ACATGATAGAGAAGGTATGTGTAAGTCTGATTACGATTACACACATAATACAGAGTGTATGTGTAAGTCTGATTACGATTACACACATGATAAAGAGGGTATGTGTAAGTCTGATTACAATTACACACATGATAGAGAAGGTATGTGTAAGTCAGATTACGATTACACACATGATAAAGAGGGTATGTGGATGTCTGATTACAATTACACACATGATAGAGAGGGCATATGTCTGATTACAATTACACACATAATACAGAGTGTATGTGTAAGTCTGATTACGATTACACACATGATAGAGAGGGTATGTGTAAGTCTGATTACGATTACACACATGATACAGAGTGTATGTGTAAGTCTGATTACGATTACACACATGATAGAGAGGGTATGTGTAAGTCTGATTACGATTACACACATGATAGAGAGGGTATGTGTAAGTCTGATTACGATTACACACATGATAGAGAGGGTATGTGTAAGTCTGATTACGATTACACACATGATAGAGAGGGTATGTGAAGGTCTGATTACGATTACACACATGATAAAGAGTGTATGTGTAAGTCTGATTACGATTACACACATGATAAAGAGTGTATGTGTAAGTCTGATTACGATTACACACATGATAGAGAAGGTATGTGTAAGTCAGATTACGATTACACACATGATAGAGAGGGCATATGTCTGATTACAATTACACACATGATAGAGAGGGTATGTGTAAGTCTGATTACGATTACACACATGATAGAGAGGGTATGTGTAAGTCTGATTACAATTACACACATAATGAAGAGTGTTTGTGTAAGTCTGATTACAATTACACACATGATACAGAGGGTATGTGTAAGTCTGATTACAATTACACACATGATACAGAGGGCATATGTCTGATTACAATTACACACATAATAAAGAGGGTATATGTAAGTCTGATTACCTCAACACTCATAATAAAGATTGTATGTGTAAATATTATTGTTATCACACACATAATAAAGCGGGTATGCGTAAGTCTGATTAAGATAATGTGAAGGATAGATTTGTAAATCTGACTAATATTGAAAACATCATATTATAGGCAGATTTAATTCTGATTATGATTACTCACAAAATACTGAACATGAGGCAACATATTTATAAAATGCCAGGTTTTAGGTATCAGAATTCATAGTAATATCTGATCAGGTGGCCAATTAGAATGTAATCATTGAAGCTTGACCTGATCTGTCTGGGAAGGTTGTTAACCGTGGATTGGTAGCGACCAAATTTATTGAAGGGTGTATATATACTTCCTGAAGCGGACTCAGGCCTCCAGGGGCAGGTTGTCAGGGGTTGTAGGGTTGATTGAGTATCTGACCTGTGTATCACTGTAGGAGTACTCTATAATTTATACAAATCTGTTTTGATTTTCATATTTACTAGTGAAGACCAAAGAGCATATGACAAAAAGAATACATTTTGTACATTGTGTTTTGTCATTTTGTTTTTACACTCCCCAAATTTTTTTTGTGGGGAAGCGTGGAGTAGCCGCCTTGTCTGTCCATCCATCTTCCCATCCATCCTTTCTTGTCCTGCAACTTTGCTCATGGTTTAGCAAGGATCATGAATCTTGACGTCATACTAATTCAATGTTCATTTTACCAAAATTCAAGATCAACAAACCCTTATTTTCAGAGTTGTTGACCTCTGTTTGAATTTTCAGAGCATGACTTTGCTGTCATTTGAACTAAGATAATGATATTCATCATAATAAAGACCTTATGCGGTCTTCCAAAATTCTAGGCCTACAACAATAGTTATGCCATTTGTTAAAATTCTGTGTCCAGAGCATAACTTTACTCTGATTTAAGCTAGGATGATTTAACATGCTGAATGGCCATAATAAGAGAATGTGCAGTGCATAAATTATTGCTCTTTAAATTAAAATTTAGTGTCCACTGTTCACTGATATTCCTGTTTTATTATGGTATTTATCTCTACATGCAAATGCTCAACTCTGCATAAACCAGTTCATTTTCTTTTTAAAAGAAACTAGGTGTTGTTTACTTGATAAGCAGTCAACCGTTATAGATAAATGTATGAGCACGCCTGAAACTTTATAAAGCCGGAAGTTTTTAGTAGAGAAGTGGTAGTTCTCAGAAAGATGATATCCCTGCTATAGCAATTCTATATATATACTAAAAAGGTCACCAATATTATGTAGTAATGAACCATGGTACTGATCTGATATTTTAGTAGGCCATCACTGACAGAACTTAGACGCAAAAGGTCTGTGACATGTTACAACGAGTGCTTTTCTCGTCAATACATATGTATATACTGCCTTTATCAGTATGGCTGTTAGACATCTTGTGTCATTTTGCTGACCTTTTAGTAGCATTTACTATAATTTTCACTTTTAATTTAGTTGTAGAATATTTTTGAGGAAAAAAATCAATATATTAGATAGTTCTGTGATGAAATGTTGACTTCGCTAAATCACTTAGTATGCTAATTTTCCAGATAAAAGCACTTGATCAGCATACATGTATATGTATATATTTTATGTATTGGTGCTTTGATCTATGCATTTCAAACCAAATATATCCAGGTGCGCCATTGGCTATCCCTTTTATTTCAGATTTGTTATTTTAACAAAAATGGAATGAAAATATGTACAGCAGTGTATGGCTATTCTTTTTCAATTAAAATACACAATCTGAACACAGTGAATTGTTATAGAGATATAGGCCCATCTCTAAAATGCTGGATCTGGGACAAACGCTTTGAGTAATTCTTTATTTTCGTTTGCTTTTGAAATTAATATATCCCTTTTTTTATAAAAAATTAACCCCAGAGATTTGGTAGTTGGTCCTCTTGGGTTATAAAGCAGAATGGTTATGTTTTACTTTCCTCATCATCACTATTTCATTCAGTTCAAAAATAAGTGTGTGTATAACACATTGGAATTTGATTTTTTTTTTTTAGTGTATAATTCAATATTCAACATATTTGGTTTAGTTACATATATCTGTAGGAAAAAATTGAAGAAAAATTTAAAAACATAGAAATGTAACCGTAAAATTGGTGTATTATAAAGAAATATGACCTAATAAATGTTATTTAGATATAGAATTAAAGATATACACCTCACATTCTATCAGACGATACGGGTAGATATGTAATAACAAATATACACCACACATTCTGTCAGACAATACAGTTAGATATAGAATTACAAATATAAACCACATTTTCTGTCAGAAAATACAGTTAGATGTGAAATATCAAATACATGCCACAGATTCTGTCAAACAATACAATTAGATATAGAATTACAAATATACACCACACATTCTGTCAGACAATACAGAAATATGTAAAATAACAAATATTCACCACATTTGCTGTCAGAAAATACAATTAGATGTGAAATATCAAATACATGCCACAGATTCTGTCAAACAATACAGTTGAATATAGAATATTGCAAATATACACCACACATTCTGTCAGACAATACAGAAATATGTAAAATAACAAATATTCACCACATTTTCTGTCAGCAAATACAGTTAGATGTGAAATATGAAATATATGCCACAGATTCTGTCAAACAATACAGTTGAATATAGAATATTGCAAATATAGACCACACATTCTGTCAGACAATACAGAAATATGTAAAATAACAAATATTCACCACATTTTCTGTCAGCAAATACAGTTAGATGTGAAATATGAAATATATGCCACAGATTTTGTCAAACAATACAGTTGAATATAGAATATTGCAAATATACACCACACATTCTGTCAGACAATACAGAAATATGTAAAATAACAAATATTCACCACATTTTCTGTCAGCAAATACAGTTAGATGTGAAATATGAAATATATGCCACAGATTCTGTCAAACAATACAGTTGAATATAGAATATTGCAAATATAGACCATATGTTCCTTATTTACAGATATTGTTTGTGATAATTGTTAGAGATTATATTTAGATATATATATATATATATGTGTGTGTGTATAGAAGTTTTTCTACATGATTTTATCTAATCTTCAGTTATCAGTCTGAAGTGCAAGCCTTTTTATTCCTGTGTTCTGTGATAAAATGTTTGTAGAATATCATCACTCACAACTTGGTTATGCTTTTATTTTTGAAGTATAGATAATCTCAAAATATGCAGCAAGCTGTTGGTATGATAAACAGAATCTCAAATTCTTGTCAGTTATATCTGAGGGTTAATATAACCAGCTGAAGCTCATGTGTTGAAATGAAATGGCTATGCATCTGATGGGATCATGCTGTGTAAAAAAATCACCATTAGATGCTTCTATATATTGGTTGTGCAGGCTAATGGGAACAAACCCCAATGTAGGGCAGTGTCAGTTGTGGCTTTCCCTCGGTCCAGATAAGGAGAGTTTTACAAATGTTTTGTGCAATATCAATCGTGTAATGACATTTTGATATTGTTGGAGCTACGTAGGTATTGATTTCTTGGTCTACTATATACACCTAATGGTACCGACTCTACAAGGTTCCCCAGAAAGATGAAGTCCTATGCAAATATTGTTTTATATATGTAGCATTGAAATGTGTGTAATGTTTAAAATTGACATGATCAAATATAAATGCAGAAAAATGTTATTTGAAGCAAGATCAATCGAAACAGAATTAGGATTAAATTGAGCTATCTTTATTCCGAGTATATTACACTGTATCAGTTGAAGTCAAGGTTTATTTCTTGAACGATTGACTACACCTGAGATTTGATCAATTCACTATGTTATGAGAGTGATAAAGGCTGTATTATTGGTTGTGGTGTGTGGCCATTCACTATTGATGGAGAAACCCATGGAACACCAGAGCTATTCTTTGGCAATGGTGTCGGTCATGTGACTAGCCATGGATGCTGGAGATGTTGATTAGCATTTGTGATGTCATGAAGTTGAGGTGATTTCCCTTGCACTGGAGAGAGATGATGAGCTAGTTGTAAGACAAGAGGGAACCATCATGGAATATGTGTTAGTGAGGCCCTGAGGACTTGTTTTGGGGAGGCAGCTGGGGGCATATTATCCAGAACACATCATCCAATGGTCAATGGCACTGGCTGACCAACAGAATAGGTCAGGTTAATGGATGTACACACTGGAGTACATAGCCAACAAGACTCAAGTTGTAGGGTCTACCGAGAGGACACTTACACCTCCTTTGGTTATTTGTGGTCAAAGGTAGATACATCTTCAGGGCCATGCTTGCATCAACTGATGAATGGACACTATCAACCTAGCTAGGGCCCTGGAGTGCAGGGGAGGATGTTAAACTGTAGAGGTGAGACAGGGACACACATGTACATACAGTAATGGGCAGCACATGTTGGTCTGCTACACATCATAATGACTGATTAATGAAGGAGCTGCTTTACCTGTGTATATACACATCATAATCACTGATTAATGAGCATCTCTACCTGCATATATCTATACCGTGACTTCTTTCTCGTAACTCAGCTTTCCTGAGAATAACATATATTTTATCATGGTCAACAGACAAAACACAAACAAAGGGATTACTAAGGAAAAGAAAAACAAGGTTGGTATGTGGAGTACACGTAATAGTTCACCTCAGCATTACACGTCACAACTGCTTAATGTCTTTACACTATGTGGTTGAGGAATGTAACAGGATTTCATATAGATCTGCAGTGATGTGTTACTCATCCATGGCCCCTCCCTTTGCCTAGCCCCTCAATGGGGTTTAATTCTTGTGAATGTGGGAGAGTACAGAGGCCGGTGTTGTCATCAGGTACAAGGTCAGGAATCTTACCCGATAAGATAACACTACTACAACTCCTACTCACAGCCATTCATAAAAGTAATCAGCGTGTACGAACGGCCAGTAAAAGCACATGGTCCTCAAAAAGGAAAGAACCGTGTGCGGGTGAATAAGGACACTGACTTATGAAGTAGTAACTGGTGATATAAGTCTAGGTGTCAAACAGACTTTTGAAAAACAAAAAATTTAAATAACCAGACTGTAAGTCTTTGTTAAACTACAACACAATTGTGACCTGTTCAACTGAAAGACACTGTGATTTGCTTTGTTAGTTCAAAGATCAGAGCACAGGACTTTATTGCAGGATTGGTAAATTAATCATACACAGATTACTGAACTTGAATGGATATATACCCGCCACTGAACACAGACATGCGTGAACCACACCACCAACAGGACTGGAGCTACATGTGTGTACAACACTAATAGTACTGTGTATACCTTACCTAGGTGTTGTAACCCCAGTGTGATACAGCCCTTGGGGAACACGGTAGACACCTCACCTCACTCAACCCTACCATATACCAGTTTGTTTCTAAACAAAAATCTTCAGTTGATGCGATTGAGATATGGACTATATGTGATGTGATTTGTAATGGTGTCAGAGAAAATGGCTGGAAGGATGTTTGTAATACATAAGTAATCAGTGATATCATCAACAAATATACGTGTAATGAGGTGGTGATGTAACATTTGGAATGACATCTTTATAAATAGCACTTAAGCTTGCTGACTGTTCCTCAGATCAAGTTTACTGACTAAATATTTACTGGGCCAATGGCCTCCTGTCCACTGGACTCTGTATACCGAAGCACATGTCATTAGCTGAACAAAGACCAGGAAATTGTCGCAGTTAAATCAAATTCTAATGTTGATCTCATTTCCACATTATTGAGTTCATTTCTATGGTATGATAGGGATATACAGCACACAAGCTTTATAAGGAGACATTACGAATTGCACAAGTCTCGGGTGGAGAGAGATCTGTGTCAATGAACAACTTGTATGCCATGTGAGGATCGGCTCTTTGTCTAGTTTTTACTATTGGTTTTACCTCGAGACAGTTATTGGTGTGATTATTACCTGGACTTTTGGACTCTATATGAAATCACTGCTTCAGTATTAGTGTGTTTGTGTAGTAATTGATGTATAAACAGACTACTGTGTGAGTAAGACCTTGTGGCTGTAATTGTGGAGGTGTTGGGATGCTTTTTTACCTAGAAGTCTTTGTCTAGTGATACACAGGTAACTAGTAAACGGTCGTTAATAGGACACATCCTGTCATAACAAAGAGGACGTAGTCGTAACAGGATGTGGTGCTAAGGTCAGTATAATAACTTTAAACATAAATGGCTGAAATGGCTGTGGTCAAGCGGGAAGTGGTCAGTATTATGGATGCTGTTGATCCTGTAGAGTCCACCTATGTCAAAAATTTGTGGAAAAGTCCTATGACAATGACTCCCCCTGCATGTAAAAAGTGCCAAAAAGAACGATCAAGAAACAGTCCAAAATGGAAACAGAAATCTCGCCAGAAGCCGACAAAAGCCAATACCCCAATTGTCATCCAGTTAAAGGATTCGCTAAAGGCAGCTCTGAGACAGAAACAGCGCTCTCTGGCAGACACAGAATTCAAATGTAAGGATGTTGAGGTATCTGTAGACAACGAAGGGGATAGTTCTCAGGGTAGAGATGACATTACCACCAACATCAAACATCTCAAACGAAAGAATGATGTCAAACATCTAAGTGCCTTAATCTCTGTAATAGAGAAATCCCATAAGAAAGACAGATTTACAAATTTTACACATAGTGCCCAAAACAGAAATTCGAAACTTGTGGCTAATTATGTTCTCAATAATGCAAACTATGTAACTGACACAAAGGACAGCTCTCGGCCCAGAAGCATCATTGAATGTGAAAATATTGATGTCATATGCAACGACTTGAATAGTAGTGAGAAAGGATCTGTCACAACAGAAGATACTGAGAGCGAAAATGGATCTACTATCTCTAGTTCTGAAATCCAGTCAGACTCGGATCAGTCTGTTTCATATGAAAATTCAGAGAATTCCAGAATGTCGAAAGATGAGTTGGAGAAATTGGCTCTTTTTACAACAGGTTGTCCCCTAGTACGGATCGATTGCCCGCCTTCAGAGTGTCCCCAGTGTCTCTCTGATTTATATAATAGTCAGTATTACTATAACCATGGCGATAATGCCTTTGAATTCCACAAGAGTCAGGAGAATGAGGAACCAAGTTCTACGTCCTACACTGTGCCCACTTCTACTCAAGACTCGGAAGCAGAAGAGGTATCTGTGATATCATTAACCGATTCTTCTGAAGCCTCCTCTGCCGTCGATGATTCCTCAAAGGCCTTACCTACCATCCCACCTGTCCAGTCTAAATTATCCAAAAATGCTCAACCATTCAAATCTAGAAATCCAAAGAACAATTACCAAAGATCAGACAGGGAAAGACAACTGCTGGATATTGATATCGCTGGAAAGGGAGGTAAATCCAGTGAAGACCTCTTCCCTGATAGTGTGTACATTGATTTGACAGGAACTGATGTAACATTTACTGTGTACTACGATCATAGTTGGTTGATGGATACCAACGACTCATCAAGCATTATAGGTCAGCTACACAGTGCTGACAATAGCTATGCAATTTCCAGAAATCATTCCGTACCTGACTTTATGCAGCAGCCAGGTCTTTTGGGTGACCGCCCTTCTGAATCAATGACAGAACTGTCTAATATGTTGGTGCCACACTGGTACTGGCCGTACATGTACCCTCCAGTATACAGTCTCACTTCCTCAATCTACAACCATCCTGTGAACACAACCAATGTCCCAAAGACACAGATGATACCCCCAAATCAACTTAGATCTTGTAAGTATATAAACAATCTCTGACATGTGCTTGTCAGATCAAGTCAGCAGAAATGGTCATGGGAAACTTAATGTATAATGATATTGAATGGGAATCCAGATCAAGTCAGCAAATATGGTCATGGGAAACTTAATGTACAATTATACAGAATGGGAATTTGGATTTTAATTAAATACGAATATAAAATGCTTAAAATTTGTGTGGGATATATGTAGGATATAAGATCACCATCAAATGTTTTTAAAGCTCTTCCTTATTCATAAGAGGTTTTGAGTTCTATTCTGAAGACAGACTGAGTGTCCTTTATGTTAATAAAGATTGCTGCCATTATGTAAGGACAATATAACCTTAATGTTAAGGATAAAACCTTATAAACAAGGAAATCCCTTGATACACTGTAAGTGTATACACTTATTATAAATGTCTCTCAGGTGTACATCATTTTATATAATTCTGTGAGTAATTTTAGAAATATGATAAACTGTTATCATTATTTCAAGCATAAGCATTAGTTTCAGTCAGGTGTGACTGACTTCAATCTACAAAGGTTGAATTTCCTCAGGTCTGCCTTGTACCCTATCTTTGTTTTCTTCAGGGTTGATCAGTTGAAACATTTGAACTGAAATGGTTGAAAGAGCTTCATGGTGACACAATTAAAGCCTGCTATACTATTTAATTCAGAAACCAGGTCACTGAACCTATAGTCCTAAACTAAAATCATAACTCTTTGTAAGTTGCTGTTACACCACTCAGTTTATTTTGGCAGAAGAGTTCATGTCATATCTATATATTGTCCTAAACTACTCGTTTTCTGTGTTGGAATTTTTAGATTGATAACAGGCCATTAATGCTATGAAATAGTATTCAGTTCTGGTACAATGATTTTGTAACAGTGATATATGTGTCACTATGAATAAAGAACCACCCTAACTGTGAAAGCTTATCCTTGCCAAGTTAGACCAAAACAAGTCTATTTAAAGAGGTTTCCCCTAAGTATAATAGGTTGAAATCGTAACAGAGTATAAAGTGAAAAAACCAGATGAATTTTAAGGGGGTCGAGTTCAGATATGAAGGGCTTATGTACTTCTGTAGTGGATATTCCAAAAGGAAGTACCAGGTACAATATCTGCTGGAGATTGACGTGAATGTTACTTAGATAAGTGATGATCAAACATGTGGTAGTGATGACATCTAAGCCTATCAATTTGGATTATGTAGTTGTTGTGATGCATCTGTATAACTGGACCAAGTGTAACATATTGTATATTCAGATAGATACAAAGAAGTGTCATTATTGGCCCATATGTTTCGACCTCCAGACAGATTCCTCAATAACAGCACCAGCGTGTATATTACACCACTGCATCTGTTACTCATAGATATATTGACCAGACTGTTTTTGTGTAGTCTATGATAACTTGACAGTGTTTGTTTTGGTAATTGTATTATTCCATGATAAATAACAATAGACCATCATCCATTAGGTCGGATGAATGAATGATGGCAAGTTTGTGTGTAATCTTAAGTATAGGTGAATCTACAGTGGTGACTATATTTGTATAGCTACCAGCTGATGGATGTTCAGTTTCTACTCAAGTATTTTGACTTCCTTCCAAACATATAGAACTCAATGTATTCTGAATTCTCATTGGAACACAGAGTTCAGTGTATATGTGATGAATAATAATAAAAGGATGGAATTTGAAATATTTGGCCTAGTGCTAGGGTGAAGGCCCTGAATGTAGTGTACACAGGTTAAACATGTATTATGGATGCATGTGGCGGCCATGGTGCTGTATATGAATAGTGTGATTATGAGGATCTGTGATAGGTAGAGGCCTTGACGTCTGACTTCTGATGACATGAAGGTGGGGGTCTCTCTTCGTTGGAGGCCTGAAATTCCAACTTCTGATCATGTAAAGGTGGGGACCTGTGTGCAAGGTGGAGGGTTTGAGATTTGGTTTTTGATAGTGTAAAGTTTGGGACCTTTGCTAGGTGGAGGCCTTGGGGTCTAACTACTGATGATGTGAAGTTAGGTACCTGTACTAGGTGGGAGCCCTGATGTCAGCTAGGTGTGGTCCTTTGCTAGTTGGAGGCCTTGGGGTCTAACTACTGATGATGTGAAGTTAGGTACCTGTACTAGGTGGGAGCCCTGATGTCAGCTAGGTGTGGTCCTTTGCTAGTTGGAGGCCTTGCTGGAGACATGTACTATCTGGAAGCCTTGATTGTGAGATCTGATGTTGTGAACCTTTGCTAGGTAGAGATCCTGGTGTCTGACTACTGATAATTTAAAGTTAGGGACCTCTACTATTTAAGGGCCCTGATGCCAGAATTCTCACTTGTATTCTTTTAAGTTGAATATAATTCTGGCTAGGAGGAGACCTGGTGCCACCATTTAGGTAGAGGTCCTGGAGTACCTGGTATGACTTCAGATAATGGGAAGGTGGGGTCCTTTGCTAGTTGGAGGCTTTGATCATGATCACTGATATCTAATCATGTGAAGTTTGGAACGTTTGCTAGGCGAAGGCCCTGGGGTCTGACCTCTGATAAAAGGAAGGTGGGGTTCTGTGCTTTGTCAATACCCAAAGGCCTGTATTTGACCAGGGGTGGAGGTCCTGGTTTATGACTCCTGATAATAGGAAGATTGCAATCTGTGCTTGGTGGAGGCCCAAGGATGTGACTAAGTTAATAGAATGATGAAGGTTGGTGTCGATTGAAGAGAGAAAATGTGATGGAATGATTTGGTTACAGGTTGATATTATCACAGCAGTAATATGGGGACTGGGAACCTTTAGTAGGGCTATGGCCTTAGTGCTTTACTTCAGACACACCCCTCTTTAGGCTTGTAAAATTCAGGTTAATGTTTTGTCCCCTCACTGACACCTTCAAGTGCCTGAAATTTGCAGGCTTGGACTCATGGGAGGATTCGGCAGAATGCAGATTGAATGATATTTCAAAATACTATGATATTTTGAGTCAGTTTTTTCAATAATGGAATTAATTAAGGAAAATAGAAAACTTTAAAAGTAAAAACTAATGGAGGAAAATAAAGTTGTGGAAAAAAACATTGTTTTCATGTTTAACATTTGGTGTTTTTGTGAAAATTTTTAGCCATCCAAAAACAAGCTATATTGACACATGTCATCTTGTGTTTTTTTTTTCGCTGCAACAAGCTTAGGGGGACCAAAAAAGGAATGATTGAGTTAGAGATTGGCTTATTAGCTGGAAGACAATGAAATCATTCTGTGATAATTCTACAGTAATTCAGAACCCAGGTTAACATATAACCAGGTATGGTATTACTGTTGGATAAATAGGACCTGTGATGAGATTTTGTTTTCAGGCAGTGGTGCTTTAACTTGAACTAGCGTACAAGTATGGCCCAATGACAATGTACTTGGACCCAGGAGCTAGACTTTTTGTTATATTATATTGTTCCTGAGGTACACATGTAGGCCTTGGTGTTTGTGATAGTGTGATTAGACCCTGGAGCTAGACTTGTGGTAATATATTGTTCTTGGGGTACACATGTAGGCCCTGATGTTTGTGATGTGGTAATATGTTGTTCCTTAGGCACACATGCAGGCCCTGGCATCAGTGATAGTGTGCATGAGAATGTTTGGTATTGATCTAGGGTATGTGGCTTTCCTTACAGATACTGGAGTGATGGAACACTGTATTTAAGCAGCAGGAACACCCAGCAAATACATTGTTATCCCCAATCAATATTAACTCCAGTAATGCCTCATACTATCAGACTTACACGGTTTCCTTCTTAACGTATCAACTTTCCAAACTTTTACGTCCTGTTTTAGGGTATTACCACTACATGTTCAACTTCCTTTTGAACCATGTCCTGTTGAAATTTATTTTACTGGATTTACTGGTATACTTAACCTTCAACTTAAATGTTACAAGGACAAAGAAAATTTTCTTAAATGTTTTATGCTCCTGCCATTTTATGGTTTTGTCATTCTGTCAGAGCTGTGTTTCCACTCATTTACTTTCTAACATATACAGTTGTATGATAATATTATGCATTTCAAGTTCTGATTTGGTTATGGTGTTTTTTCCCAGATTAATGACCTTTTAATTTTAGGAATTTTAATTGTAATTTCAGAAAAAAAATTTAAGAAAAAAAGTCAGCAGGCAGATATTCAATTTCTTTTATTTTGTGAATGATGAGTATACCTCCTATAAAGCAAATTATAGATATAATTACACTCAAAAGTTCTTAACTTTTCCTTGGTTGCTGGTATTCATTCCAACACGTCTATTTACATCAAAATATCAAAATGATGTAATAGTATCCAGTCATAAGGTCACTCTCTGTTTATTTTTTCAAGATAGAACTCAACTGCTTTCACAGAAAATTCTACAGTAATAAGAAAATTTAGTGGTCTTCGGATGTCTTGTCTTATCAATAAGAGTACACCATTCAATATCTGTCAGAGAAAGAATGGTATTTTAAAGCACAAGGTCTACCAGTGTGGACTTGCAAAACTAACTTATTATTATGTGATTGTCCATATCAGTGTCACCTTTTCCAGTATTTTTCCCATGACTTTCTAACTACTTTCCCTTCGAAAAGTGTTGAATCACTGTGGGTCTATTTATATATATAAAAACTACACTTAATTCATGCTGGCATTGGCAAGCCCTTTAATATTCAACACAGATATTAAAATGCAGTAAGAATCTGTACAAAAACTAGAAGTCGTACAGATTCAGCAGTGTTGTAGACAGTATGTATTTAATGAATTGACGTTTCTAGGGCTTGATAATGAGGTTTGTTGATTAAATAGCAATGGATAATCAATTAGTGTACGTGGCTTTGGTTACATGCTTCAATGGTTCTTTTTCTGTAATCTGAGGCATGCATAAACATGTGTTGTAGAGTTTTAAGTTGGGGGGAGGGGGGGGGGAGGGTTGCCAATCAAAGACTGTGTACCTAACTAACACAATGTCTTGACCTGCAAAAGTAGGTAGGCTTAAATGGAAATCGTTAACAATTATGTAACTGACTCTTTGAAATGTTTTTAATCCATCTTTGCTGGGGTTTTTTCTCTGTAAATGATCAGGACATACAATTAAGCCAGTGTACTACTGTAAGCCTATATATGTATCACATGACTGACTTCTACCCGCCTCTAAGGCATTATCGATGCACAGGCACGTAGAGACCTGTTCAGATTCCTCCTTTATTCCATAAACAACTTCCTTTATTCCATAAACAACTGCATTGTTCAGAAGTTCTTTTGTTCTTCATGAAACAAAGGGTCAGGGTTCAGTGGATTCTGAATCCTAATATTTCTTCTGATCAAATTCAATTTATTCTTAAAAGTTATTTTTTTTTTGTTATTTTATTGTTAGTTTTGACAGAATTGTATGATTTACATACATATGTACATAGAGATAGGTCAAAGCTCCATATTATTTACAGCTTGTCAAATTACTTGTCATGCATGCCGTACATTCAACTCAGTCATATTCTTTGTTGTTCACATCCTCATGCTCGATTATGGCATATTTTCTTTAACAATTTTTGAACATAAATATCCTGTGTAGATAGTGGTTGTTAATTGAGTAAAATATCTTTTTCAAAAGCATTTCATGACATTCATGCTTAATGATAAAATGTACAGTATAGCTGTTTCCTAATGTGCTTTTTTATCACATTTCTACCTGTAAGCAACAGTTTAAAACTTCTTTAAAACGTTAGATACCATGCTATTTAAGATTCATCCCATCGGCTTGTTTTTTGGCTTTGTCTGTAAAATCTGGCTTTTTTAGTAATGGATTGTGTTCATAATGGCAGTGTTTTGCAAACTTTTTTGATGTTATATCCATGTTTTAAAATTTTCTAAGATCTGTTGTAATTTTGAAAAGTACAAAATGTAAAGTAGAGGAATTTGTAACATGTTCCTTCCCTCTACATAGGTTCTGTTTAATAAGGTTTGATAAATTAGGTGGTCAGTCCAGAGAGTTATGGGGTTGTGTCATTCATCTTTATGTGGTCAATCCATTAAGTTAAGGGGTTGGGTAATTTCATACGTATGTGGTCAGTCAATGGAGTTAAGGGTTGGGTAATTAAACATTTAAGTCATCAGTCTATGGAGTTGAGGGGTTAGGTAATTTAATATTGATATGGTCAGTCTATGAAGTGGAGGTGTTGGGTAATTTAATATTGATATGGTCAGTCTATGAAGTGGAGGGGTTGGGTAATTTAATATTGATATGGTCAGTCTATGAAGTGGAGGGGTTGGGTAATTTAATATTGATATGGTCAGTCTATGAAGTGGAGGGGTTGGGTAATTTAATATTGATATGGTCAGTCTATGAAGTGGAGGGGTTGGGTAATTTAATATTGATATGGTCAGTCTATGAAGTGGAGGGGTTGGGTAATTTAATATTGATATGGTCAGTCTATGAAGTGGAGGGGTTGGATAATTTGATATTTATATAATCAGGTTTTGGAGTTAAGGGGTTGGGTAATTAACTCAGATGAAGTTGTGTGTACTAGGGTACTGCACTTATCAAAGGGACAGGGCACATGGTATATGTATTTTATAAATTGCATTGATATTCTCTTTTCAGTCAATTCCACTCAGCCTCCCAGCAGACAGTGGGTATGGTTAGCCAATTCTGAAAGGAACAGACCAACAGGTGAGAGAATGTATATTTATATGTATATTTTAAACTTTTGAAATGGATTACAACTTTTGTGAGTGTTTTGCAGACTTTGTACTTCAAAGGTAAAAATCAAAATAAGACAAATCTAAGGGAAACATAGGTATATATATAAAAAAAATGTTAGAAGTGTTTTAAAGCTGTGATGTATCAAGTGTTGACAGGCCTACATGGCTGCAGCTGAATGCACCTAATACTAGTTATTATCTACACTACCTTTTACTTTCAGTTGTGAGCAGAGGTACAAAAACTGACATGATAAATTGTTACACATGGAGTATGGTTCCTAAATTTGTACCACCCATCATTTACCTGACAACTATTTTAACGCTGTCCTTTGTTATCACCTTTCTCTTTAACACTTTGGAAAACCTTGTTTTAAGATTAAATTAGAAAACAGTTACTAAACAATTTGAAAAGTATTTCAGAGTCACCTTTTTCATAAAAAACAGCTATACAGAAATGTCAAACACTAATTTATATCAGCTAAAGAGCAGCTTCTCTAAGAATGTACAAATACCATGTCTATCAAGTGTACAAAAGGTCAAGGTCAAGAATATTAGTTCCTCTAGGTCAAGGTCAGGAATAAACACATACCACTGTATACCAGGTGTACAGATGGTCAAGGTCAGGAATATATGAATGCCATTGTCTTATGACATGTATAACAGTACCTCTAAGTCAAGGCCATGTACACTTGCTCACATTAAGTTAGTCACATAGATAGTTTATCTAATGATTTCCAACAGTCTGTATCATTGTGACTCATTATTGTAATTTCACTTTATTATGGTAGGATCATCCCTACCTTAATGTAAATGATACTGTATTGTGTTATCAGAATGATCTGTACTGAACTGCTGCGGTCAGAGATACATTACCGGGGTATTTCCTGTGATATAGACATATATATGAGATATTAGTGTTGATATTTTAAGGTGCAGAAGGGTTCATGAACAGGATGTGCTGGCTTAATTGAGAGCAGATGAAACTTATTAGATAGTCTGATGCAAAGATTTCATAAAATCAAATTGTAGGCATAAACAAATTGTAACACATGGTCACCTCTGTATGTACATTCAATAGTTAATCCTGCTGGGAGTCATTGGTAGGGAGCCTGTCACTAAAACACAAGTGTCAATTAAAGAATTACTTACAAAAACTTTCAAAATCATTGAATTCATATATAACTTTTTGTGCAGTTGTCAATCTTAATTTTGCAATATATTTCACATTCAATTAATAATGTGTACATAACCCTTTTGGCAACAAAAAATTACATATTTTCATTACACCACCTAAGTATGATCGTGAAACATATATATTAAGCTTGTTGACATTGAGTTCAGTTCACACAAATTCTCATATTAGATCACAGTTCAGAGGACAACAGCTATTAATTTTGTCTGGAAAAAACATGAAAGGTAAAAATTATGTAGGGTATCATATGTAAAACTATGTCTAGTGAAAAGATCAAAGAGAAAAGACAGGTAAAAAAAAGTATAGCAATATGTCTCTGAAAAAAATTAAGCTGGCAGGACTATTAACATACCAGACAGTGGCCCTATTTCTGAATATAAATAATTATGCAGCTGTGAGGATGTACTGCAAGTTCCTCATCTTCACTTAGTATTACTGTAGGGGAAAAAACATGACTATTATCGCTATAAAACTTAATGTGCTGATCAAGGATTTTTATTTTGAGATGTGAAATCTTGTCTTAGCCCAGGTGACACTTTTAAGGGTTTTAAATAGAACTTGATAAGGGGTGGTGGTTTTCAGAAAGAAGAAGATCCTGTTTTTTAGCATTGGAATGTTTACTCATACATTCCCGGTATGATGGTCATTACCACTATGTCTGGCCAGGATAGATGGCTAGAGGCATGCTCATTATGCAGTTCCACATGATGAGGCAGTCAGGAACACACACACTCTCATCACACAGGCCCATATCAGTAGCTTTATGTACATGGCGCACCACATTTGATATATATATATGAACTTGTAGCTATAGGCCTCAGGCTACATGATAGAAAGGCGAATCTAGCTGACCTAGGGATAAGAGATATCAAAACATTTCAGACAGGAGTTTAATTTTTCCTATTTTTAGGGCCCCGAATCAGATGCGGGTGCCGTTTAGTAATCAAGTGGTCTGTCAGATTGTCAGTCTGTCCGTCCATCTTTTGTTGTCTGTTTTTGCTTTCTGCACTATAACTTGTGTGTTTGTTGTCAGATTCTCTTTGAATTTGGTATGTTATATTCCTGGGAACTTACATGAGTGAAAGCTGTCAATATTTGCAAGATTTATGAGACTTTGAATGCCAAAAATATACCATTTTATTACTTTCCACACTGCGTATTTCCAGTCAGATCTTCCCCAAATTTGGTATGTGGGTTTATGTACAGGAGACAGCACATTGATATTTACAAGAGTTATTGGACTTTGAATGCCAAATATATACTATTTCATTAATTACTTTCCACACTGCATATTTGCAGTTGGATCTTTACCGAATTTGGTATGTGGGTTTATGTACAGGAGACAGCACATTGATATTTACAAGAGTTATGGGACTTAGAATGCCAAATATATACTATTTTATTTATTACTTTCCACACTGCATATTTGCAGTTGGATCTTTATCGAATTTGGTATATGGGTTTATATACAAGAGACATCACATTGATTTGATAAGCATAGGAATTTGTTCATATCTAAAAGAGTTACGGGACTTTGAACGCACGCTGGTATAAAGGGTCATCATGGCATCCCCCATAAGTGTTGTTGGTTTTGGTGTGGATCGGAAAATCAAATATCACAATGGCTTCTGATTGGATGAGACATTTTCAAGTTCTTGAGAATAGCTGGTGATATTGACTTCTAACTTGATACAAATTATCATTATGAGGTCCTTCACAAATACTAATTTTTGCATGGATCAGAAAATCCAAAATGGCCACTGTGGTTTCTGATTGACTGAGACATTTTTTAATTTTTCACAAGACGGATGTAATCCTAGCTTGGTACAAAATTATCCTTATTAGGTCAGGACCATGCAGTGCTACTTTTCTAGCTGCGCTGGCATATCAAGCCTTCTGTGCGATAGCTTTAAGATGGGACCTTTCCTTGGCTTTAGTCTAATTTTTTGTGAATAAACTATTTCATAATTGGACATAAAATATTTGAAAAAATGTCTAAAATATGAAATCACAAACAAAAAGATCTGTTGACAGATGGTCATGGATGTAAATCACAAGACACAACAATGGAGTTGTAACATACATACACATTTTGAGAATTTCAGGAATTTTCAGTCGTAACACAAATATAATGAGGAACAGGCTCACTAACTTTATCTGATCAAATAACATTCCTGTGTTCTCTGTGTTTACTGGATTTTATGTGCCTGTGTTAATTGATGCTGGAAATGGTGAGATCATATTTATGTGTGTCAGAATGAGGTTGAAGGTTGGGCTGTAGGAGGGATAGAACATGGGGTGTTTGAGTGCAGAGCCTGCCAGGTGTTACCAAGTAGGATTTTCATACACTGTAACTGTACAAATCATATGAGGTCACATTCAACACAATGCACTCTCGCTGATTTCTGTGGTAATCAGTACAGAAATATGACATTCTTTTGTCAAACACTTATATTGTATTAGGATTTAATGACATGGGCGTAATTCAGGGACGTGAAGTTCAAAGAAAGTGCCATGAAGTAAAGGGTTATTTTCTTTTACACAATGTTAGAAATTGGTTCTGATTTCATATTTATTTCATGTTACTTCATGATGTCACAAATTCTCTTTTTCTCAGAACAAATTAAAATTTGCAATTAATCATTGTGGACTGTATACTTTACAATTTCTACAAACCCGGAGACTAATGAAACCATGTCTCTTGGTATTATTTGTCTTTCATCAGATCAGGAACAATTTGATTGGTTTTAGAAGAAAAATAGATTACTAGAGTTAGACAATAAATAGAAAGTAAAGGATTTTATACAGATATTAGGATTTCATTGTAAACCATCCATAGGCAAGCTAATTAATATCTTGGTCCGCGATTGAAATCTTGTTTCTTTATGTGTAAGCTTAGAAGGTAGACCTAGCAGATGAGTAAAAGTTTTCTATAGGAGCAGACATGAATTAAGTCGTAGGTCTAATATCTGTATGTGGTGTTTTATGACTAGAGGATACATGGTGGGTTAATGTTAGGATTAGATGACAATGTGATCTCTCTACTGATTACACATCACATCTGTATTACATCTTATATCTCAAGAATCCTACCTATAGGTTTTTGAATACTGACAGTTGACACTACTGTAGGAGGTACTTATTTACTGTGATACTTAGTGGTAGTAAGATGGCTAAAAACCCAGTATATGTTATACTGTAGCACAGATGTACCCAGTTACTTGTCCCTCATTGTCGTCATACAGATAATTTTCACTAGTTCTGTGACTGCATCGAAAATTACAGAATAACATAACATTATAGAAGAAATTTAACAGGAACACATACATGTTAGTAATGTCACTTGTTGCAGAAGTAAGATTGAAACGAGAAATCAAATCATGCCTATGTATATAAAATACTATACTTGCATCCCATGACAAGAAATCTATGTACATGTATGAAAACAAACTAAATTAAAAAAGTTCCTAAATCTTACTTTGATGCATGGCTTTGCACAGATTTAGATAATGCTTGAGATTTCTGTTGTATGTTCTGGCCATTGAGGTGATGACATTAGAAATTAATCAGCTTGCATTTTAAAGTACTTAGTGTTCAGCTTATGAAAAATATTGAAATGTGAACAAACGTAAGATCAGGGGATATTTTAGCAATTTTCACACAATTGCTGTGCATCAGTAAGATTATGAAAATGCTGGACTATTAACCATTCTTGTTTCTGGTTTTTTAAAATTGAATTTAATATCTACTATGTATCTTTATACAAAATATATGAAACTTTGTCTAAAGGTGTGAGGTATTGATATCTCTCATACTTGATATGAGAGAAAATGATATCTTTACACTTCCATTGTGTGTTGTACTTGCCAAAACATCATATGTCAAAAAGCACCTGTTTTAATTTTAACAGTTCTGGATTCAAACTGTAAACAGTTTTAAATGCCGACTAACACCATCCAGTATATTGTAGTTCATTTTGGCATAGACATCAAAAGTCCTTTAGCTGTAATAAAAATATGTTGATAACTGCTGTGTTTACTGATTCTATTGTGTACCTGGCCTGTTGACACAAGATCTCAATAATGATTAATATTCAGCTCACAGTGTTGTGCTGTTGTTTATTGCTGAATCGTCAGTAAAATCACTTGACCTTTGGCCTTTTTTGCACTGACTGCACATCTCCAGCACTTTTGTCCCTTTAACATTTGATGAGGTCAGTGAAACACTTAGAACATGTGCCTGTAAGCCTTTGTTGACATGGCTAGATAAAACAATAGAAATGTTTGTTCTGGTTAGTTCCACATGAGTTCCTTCATACTTTGCCTATATACATGGTATATCAATTAATTAATAAATTTCTTTATGCCACCCATTACCAATCACAGGGCACATATTATTACCTATATATGTCTTATATAAATCTTTATGTACATATCCGTGTCCATGATTTCATGTCTTCCTTGTTGAAGACAACATGAACAACACAAGGCAGTGTGTGAAACTGTTCAAGGTCAACAGATTTTATTTGCAATATAATTGTTATAAAAACTAAAATATTGTTTATGTTTCATTTTCAGCCATCTTCACTGTGATGTGCTACAATGTATTATGTGATAAGTATTGCACAAGACAGCTGTACGGGTATTGTCCCTCATGGGCACTAAACTGGGAGTACAGGAAGAAGGGCATCATGGAAGAGATCAAACATTGTGCAGCAGACATCATCTGTCTACAGGTGAGTCCCTTTATATCAGACTCCCCAGGGTTCTTCATCTGCCTTGTACCTTTATCACTTTGCTTATGCACAAGATCTAGATAAATACCATAACCTAACACATCTTGAAATATACTGCAGTTTACCAAACAACTGAACCTGATCATTAAAATCACTGCTAACTCAGTTATTACACTACTGAGACAATTGTGCTACTACTAGTCCAGTTGTCTCACTGTCCAGTGACCACACAACCAGTTGTCACACCATTCAGTGACTAATGATCCAGTTGTCTCACTGTCCAGTGACCACACAACCAGTTGTCACACCATTCAGTGACTAATGATCCAGTTGTCTCACTGTCCAGTGACCACACAACCAGTTGTCACACCATCCAGTGACTAATGATCCAGTTGTCTCACTGTCCAGTGACCACAGAACCAGGTTTCCTTCAGTCCAGTGACCACACAACCAGTTGTCACACCATTCAGTGACTAATGATCCAGTTGTCTCACTGTCCAGTGACCACACAACCAGTTGTCACACCATCTAGTGACTAATGATCCAGTTGTCCAATTGTCTAGTGACCACACAACCAGTTGTCACAGCATCCAGTGACTAATGATCCAGTTGTCTCACTGTCCAGTGACCACAGAACCAGTTATCCCAGCATCCAGTGACCACACAACCAGTTGTCCCACCATCTAGTGACTAATGATCCAGTTGTCCAATTGTCTAGTGACCACACAACCAGTTGTCCCACCATCTAGTGACCACAGAACCAGTTGTCCCACCATCTAGTGATCACAGAACCAGTTGTCCCACCATCTAGTGATCACAGAACCAGTTGTCCCACCATCTAGTGACCACAGAACCAGTTGTCCCACCATCTAGTGACTAATGACCCAGTTGTCCAATTGTCTAGTGACCACAGAACCAGTTGTCACACCATCCAGTGACTAATGATCCAATTATCCCACTATCCAGTGATCATTGATCCAGTCTCGCCATCTAGTTACCACTGATCCAGTTGTACCACTCTCTACTGACCACTAATCAAGTTGTCACACTATTCAGTGACCACTAATCCATTTCCAGCTATCTAGTGATGACCTATCTACTTGTCCACTCTATTGACCACTAACCCAATTGTCCCTCTATCTAGTGACTACATAGCTTACTATGTAGAAGTGACCACTAACCTAATGTCCCACTCCACAGTCCCTGCTTATCCAGGGTGCCACTATCGAGTAATTGCATTTATCTTCTTGTTCCTCTAACCATTCATCACATACCAGCTGTACAGTAACAGTTTTTATCATTTTGGAGTCAATTTGGAACACTTTTGAATTGAGACCACTGGATTATCAACTGGGAGTGAAGGTTACTGGATTATCATCTGGCAATGAATGTTTTTGGATTAACTGCTTGCATTGAAGGTCACTGCATATAGTGCTGTTAGCAAAGTTGCCAGGTTATCATTGAGGAACAAAAGTCTTTGCATTGTCTGCAAGAAATTACGGCATGAAATTGCTGTAAAGCTATAATCATGTGACTGAGAATTTAAGCCTGATCATGAAAACAGCATTATGCTAGCAGGATCATGTGTTTACATTATTTCGTTATTAATTTTCTATTTCCTTCTTCCACTTGCTACTTCACACGTTCCACTTCTAATTTTTTGTTTTGTCTACTTGGTGAGTCTTGTTTGCTACACTACGTTTGTTTACTGTTCCTGCTAAGCTATATTTACTCATGTGTATGATAATATGTGTGATTGTTTCATGTGTCTGGTTCATCATTTAAGCTATATAATCCCCGGGGATTCAATTCAACACCTGATGCCTTGTTGTATCAATAATGATCTGTAACCAACCTAGAATAAAACACTTTGTTTTTGTATTATGTACTGTTTTCTTGTGTTATTTACTAATACTGATTGTTATTTACCAATAACTTACTTACTTACCAATACCTAGTGTTAATTACCAATTGCAAATGTTATTTACCAATACTTTGTGTATTTACCAACATATTTTGTTACAAACTAATGGCTGGTATTATCTACTAACACCTTGTGCTATTCTTAGTTTTCACAATGTCCTGAAACATTGACTAGTTTTTCACAATGTCCTGAAACATTGACTAGTTTTTCGCAATGTCGTTCAACATTGACTAATTAAATAGTTGATGCATGTAAAGATAAAACAAAAAACATGGCTGATAATTGAAAATCCATGCAAATAGAAGAAAAAGTTGGAATGATAATTAAAATAGATATTGGTAGCTGGTACCAGTTCTTTGTCTCTACAACCTAGATTTAGTTGTTTAGACAGTAATTGTAGATATACTGTTGATTTATTTTGCTGTAAGTACCCATATAAACATCCTCCAATGACAGAGGTTATCACTGTTCCTGTCTATCTATGTCTTCAGTAAACCCTACATTTACTCATTCTTTCTTGTTTAGTTTTACACTGTTTGACTCATGAGTGATGACTTAGATCGCAATTTATCAACTTTTGACACCAGTGGGAACATCGTAATGCAGATGTAACAGTTAAATTGGGAAGAGGGGTAACAGTTAGCACTGACTCAATCCAGACACTACATGGATGGTCACAATTCTGTGTTCTGTTGTGACTTATTAGTACTCAAGTCACATCACACAAAATCCATGAAATACAATAAAAGAAGAGGTGGGTTGGTGAGGGGTGGCTCTGAATTGATTCCATCTATAAGCTTGACTTTGTGATATGTTGTGTCAGATTTCCTAGGTAATAAATTAAGAGACAAATATTCATTGAAGTCCTGTTAGTCTTAGTAATGCCAGTCAATACACAGGCTTGCTTACTGCAGAGAGAAATGTGTCTGCTTCAGAGGCTGACAGAAAAATGTAGGTCACTATCCTGTAGCTGGTTGAAATGAATATCAGTCAATAATTGTCTTGTGCACTAGTAAGGGTTGATGGTCCACTTATTGATGTATGTACAGCAACATCAATATAAAGAGGAATGAACGACAATGACATACTTTATGTAGGTTAAAATTATGTAAATTATTTAAAAGAATAGGAATAGAGCCTGGAACAGACATTGGACAGAGATTTGAACAAAAGACTATAGTCAAGGACAGTTTAAAACACAAGTCTCTAGACAGGGGACATAGCCTAGAACACAGGTCTCTAGACAGGTGACATAGCCTAGAACACAGGTCTCAAGACAGGGGACATAGCCTAGAACACGGGTCTGTAGACAGGGGACATAACCAGGAACACGGGTCTGTAGACAGAGGACATAGCCTAGAACACAGTTCTCAAGACAGGGGACATAGCCTTGAACACGGGTCTGTAGACAGAGGACATAGCCTAGAACACAGGTCTGTAAACAGAGGACATAGCCTAGAACACGGGTCTGTAGACAGAGGACATAGCCTAGAACACGGGTCTGTAGACAGGGGACATAGCCTAGAACACAGGTCTGTAGACAGGGGACATAGCCTAGAACACAGGTCTGTAGACAGAGGACAAAGCCTAGAACACAGGTCTGGACAGAGGACATAGCCTAGAACACAGGTCTGTAGACAGGACATAGCCTAGAACACAGCTCTGTAGACAGAGGACATAGCCTAGAACACAGGTCTGTAGACAGGGGACATAGCCTAGAACACAGGTCTGTAGACAGAGGACATAGCCTAGAACACAGGTCTGTAGACAGAGGACATAGCCTAGAACACAGGTCTGTAGAAGTATCTAGCGAGGAGAAAAAATATAACTGTTTAGAACAAATATTGTAGACTGTTTCTATGTCTGTAGCACATAGACAAATCTAAAACCTGCAATTAGGTATAAGCAAGACATTCAGTATATTAGTGTGATGACACACAATCACAGCAGTAATGTTTGGTGGTGTTAAGAGAACAGCAGAGTGTATCAGTATGTAGGTTATGTTGAAATCATCTAAATATGGGTCACACCCTATAACACGTTTCAGGTGATCTATATAAGGACGGTTTTAAGTATCTGTATACAGAGTTGTAGTGTGATTGAAAAGCGATATTTTACTACACAATGAACACTTAGATTTGTTATATGTTCTGTCAGTTGCTAGGCTATTATGTAGGTAGATCCATTTCTTATCAAGGATCTTTATTGTCAGGTGTTTAAGAATTACTCCTATGTCATTAGGTAGACAGCTCTATAAGCTGAAATATCTTATAATGATCTGTTGAATATGTATGGTCAGTAAGGAGATTGACTCCTTACAGCTAGGAGAGATCAATAACCGGCCTAGATTATCACTGAGATATAGCTCAGAATGCCTAGTGTACTGTACCTGTACAGGTAGCAGTGATTATTTTGTGGTACACACCTGTCAGAACATTATCCGAACATTAATATCTCTTAGTCTAAAGCTGCTAATGTTTGTTTGCAGCAGCATTAACACTTCATCTGTTGTCATGTTTCTTCACAGTTGTGATCAGTTAGTAAACAATTGATTAAAATAATAACACCATGTATGTAATTTACTATTGTATGTAGATAATCTGTAACTTATGTATAACAAATTTATAATAATAAATAAATTCTGTATTTACTTAAGACTTTCTTTTCTAAATCTACTTTATTGTGGTAGAATATATAAACTTAAAATACAGGCTTTCTCTCACTATTCAAACATTCACTACATTTTCTATGGTATATTTGCATATTATACAATGAATCCCCTACTTTCCTGATCTAGTTCCTGTTGTGTATATATAAACTGTATTCCCTTTGTGTTAGAGAATGCGAAATGACCTTTTTTCATGCAGATACTCCAACATCAGGTTTAATCACCAAGGACATCATCAAAATTTCTGGCAGAAATATCTTTCGTAAAATTAATTTGTTTTCTTCAAATTGTATAATTTCAGGAGGTAGAAACAGACCAGTTCTACAATTTCTTCCTACCTGAGCTAAAGAGAGATGGTTACGATGGCATTTTCTCTGCTAAGTCTCGAGCAAGAACCATGACAGAATCAGAAAGGAAATATGTGGATGGTTGTGCAATATTCTATAGAACATCAAAGTAGGTATTAAGGTAGTTCATTGGAATTGGCTTGCTAAATCCCAATTTTACCCAACTTCATAGGTCTATGATTTGGCATCATTTTCATTCAATTTGGATCATCTTAATGTTTATGTTCTAAGTTGTGTTTATATAATCAGTTGAGCATCTGGAGTCAGTTTTAGTTACTGTCAAATAAATTTGGGGATAAAGTATTTCAGCAAAATTTTGTAAGGAAATAGGTTTATTGGTTTGGCAGGAAATAGCTTAAAGAAATCAATATTGAGGGTGAATCTACATGTTGTATGTGGAAATATGTTTCTTTGTATATTTAATAATTAAAAATTAAGCCAACAATTCAACTTAAAAATCTTGCTATTGATTTACCAAGGAGATGGCAACATTTGCTGTATTAAATTCTTGCTTGTTTATAGGTATTAGATTGTGGAATGTTGTAACCACATAAGTGAATGAAGATAGTGTTTCAGTGACAATGACTGTTGAATGTTATTTGAGTAAATTAGGGCACTATTACAACAGATTTAGACATTGCCTATGTTGTTGTCCTGATAAATTGTTTATAAACATCCCCAGTGGATTATGTTAACAGTAGGTAATTTTATTCTGGTGATGTTATGTGGAGTCAGAGAATACAAACATTGATGTAGGGAATGTACAATGTTATAGTGTGTTTCTGTTAAATTTTCATAATATGAACTCACCTCTGTAGCAACTGTAATAAAGGCTTTCTTTGTCTTTTCAGATTCTCCTTATTGAAGGAACATCTAGTTGAGTTTAATCAGGTAGCCATGGCCAATGCCGAGGGCTCAGATGATATGCTTAATAGGGTGATGACGAAGGACAATATTGGACTGGCAGCCATGCTGGAAACCAAGGAGGGGGTATTTGAAAATGGTGGGTTCCTAGGGGTTGCATTGGACAACTGACACACGTATTGTAGTTTGAAATATCTTGACTTCTTTAGAAATTGGACTTCCATTGTGGATATTATAAATGGAAATATTTCTGGCCAAGGAAAAGGATTTTCTTTATACAAATCAAAGGAATTAATGTATAGTAAATACTGTTATTCTAGTTAGCTTGTTAACATTAATTTCTAAATGTAAAGAATCCTGAATCAGTTGTTGTGTGGTTATCCCATATTGTTTATGTTATAGGTGCACCAGCAGAGAACTTTGTCCGTCAGCAAATAATGGTGGCAACTGCCCACATTCACTGGGACCCAGAGTTTTGTGATGTCAAGCTCATACAGACCATGATGCTCATGTGGGAACTCAAGCATATCATCGAAGAAAGTATTCGCAGCTTCCGGCCAGGTTCCTCTACCCCAGACATAAACTCCATACCGCTCATACTATGTGGCGATTTAAACTCCCTCCCAGACTCAGGTATGGACACATTTTTCCAAAACATACTTCTTCAAATTCCCTTTTTCTGTTGCAGATCAGTTCTCAATTCAAGAGAGAAAAAGGGCCTGTATCAAGTCCTACCTACAAGCCTAATCCTATACACTAGGGAGACAAGACTTATAGTAGGCTCCACCTACTAGTCATGTCCTATATATAGGGAGACAGGCCTGTTGTATGTCCTACCTACCAACCAAAACCTATACACAAGAGAGACAGGGCTTGTAATAAGTCCTACTTACAAACCTAGTTCTATACACTTATCAACACCATAGTCCTCTTATACCCTAGATTGACATGATTATTAGCAAGTTCTACCTACCAGGATAGTCCTATACATTAAATAGACAAGATTGGTAACAAGTCCTATTTACCAGCCTGGTCCTATCCACAGAGAGATATAGTTCCATTTAGCTTATATAAATACTGTAAAAAAATCCAACCATGTTCAGGTTTAATGTAAAGAGACATTTCAGTAATGTGTGATTGCAGTGTAATGGGTAGATTTGTCAGCTATACGTACATGTTAGAAATGGCTGGCTTAATGCCATATGTCAGCTTGATGATAAATGGCAGCAGCATCCCTGCAGGGTAACATCATTTGGTGTATCCATTTGGCAGAAAATCTGTAGGTGTTATGCATCAAGGAAGTATTAACATTCAGCTTTTGTTAAAAGCTCTAGATATGTCTTTTTTTGGTGTTATAATACAGCATAAAAGCAGAATAAAAAGGATATGGACAGATCATTATTTACAGTTAAGGAATCTATTCTATTTTATCCACTGAAATTCTGTATATTAATCTGTATTTGTTTGTGTAATATATTGATCTTAGAGATAATTTCGAGGGTTTTTTTTATCCATTTCAGGTGTTTTGGAGTTTCTCAACTCAGGAAAAGTATCTAGAAATCACATAGATTTTAAGGAGAGAGGATATGATGACTGTCTACAACGCATCAATGTCTCCACAGAGAAAGATTTCCTGCTTCATGATTTCCGTCTTGGTCGTGCCTACGACAATGATATCATGCCTTTCACCAATTACACGTAAGCTTTTACCATTTTCTTCTTTGATAAAAGATACTCTTTGATTCCTATAACTTTTCAAGCAATTTGTTTGAATTTCACTAAACACTTATGAATGAATCTATGATATTATTTTAAAAAGATAAACTTTTTCCAATCTTCCATATTTTGATGAATATTTTTCCAATTTTGAGCCTTGTTTTGTGTTTCTTTACAGATTTGACTTTAAAGGTATCATCGATTACATCTTTTATTCACGTGACCACTTAAACTTGCTCGGTCTGCTTGGCCCCCTGGATGCAGATTGGTTCCAACAGAACAAGGTTGTTGGCTGCCCTCACCCTCATGTGCCCTCAGATCACTTTCCCCTCCTGGTGGAGTACGAGATGCCAGTCCCGCGGTCGGAAAGCTCACGTCAAGCCAGTACAGCTAACACACCTGTTAAAAACAGATAGTGCCTGGCACAGCTACTCTCACCTCATCAACCAAGGAGACATTGACCTTCATCAGTTCATACTCATGTCACCATGGTTTTCTTTTCCCTTTTTTGTAATTTTTTTCTTTTTTGTGTTAGAAATCATTGTACCTTTGTAGAAAATATCTTGAGAGTATATTTAATGTTGATTATGACAGAGTTTCAAATTTTTACTGTTATTTTTTATTGTACATGAGGGTTTTCCAACCATTTTTAACACTGTCATATCATGAAAACTACAATTATGTGAATGAATTTTTTATATATACAATTTTTTAATAAAATGCAAGCATGGTGCACAACCCATTTGAAGAACAAAAAATAGGGGAGACAATTCATGTGTGAAATATTCGTGTGCATTATTTATTGTTAGCTATTTATTTTGCCATATCAGTGTGTATGGTCAACTTCTGTATCATGACAAGGGAAGAAGCATAATACACACATCCAGGCAGTATGGTCCCAAAGTCTTAACACAGTCGTTCCAAATCTATTTTCATACAACTAGATAAGAAATGGCAAATTTACATGGTGTAATTATCAGGCCTATCCATTTTTTTCTTTTTTTTTTTTCATAGAAGAATGAATTGAATAAGATTTAAATGGATTCTTGGTTTATTCAATACAGATTAGAAAACTTTGTATGGAAGGCCTGGCACACAGTGTCAGCTGGCAGCTATATGTCGGGTAATGGATTCAGTTATACTCTAAATGTATCAACCATTATCATATCTATCTGTGATGTAGCAAACTGACACTATTGATGTCACAGAAATGTCATGTACATCTGGGGTGTCACATATTAACACTATTGATGTCACAGACATTGTCATGTACATCTTTGGTGTCACATACCAACACTATTCCTTTGGTGTCACATACTGACACTATTGATGACACAGACAATATTGATATGATTGACATTGAATATAAACACATATTAGTTTAACAATACTTTGAAGCTAAAGTAAAATTCCTGTAATTCTCTAACTCTCAGGAGATAACAGTTCCTTATGTCATTTGATACTGCTCTAATGTAATTATGACTCTAGTTACAATATTTGATACTAAAACATCAATACCTACTTTTGTTACTATAGTTTCCGTCTCATTGTTACTATAGTTACAAGGTAAGATTTTGATACTAAATCACCAATTTCAATATTTGTTACTTCAGTTTCAATCTCATCTTTTTTTATGATAGAAATAATGACAGCATTTGTTACTATATCTATGTCATTTTTGTTACTATGGTAACATCAGAAAGTTACAATTAAGTTTTGTTAATATGTCACTATAGTAACAACAGTGATATGGTGATGACCTATTGACCAGTTGGTCCAGTTTTGTGTGTGGTTCACTTTAGATATATCATAGTCTGGCCAGTAAAACACAGATGTACACACCCCTGATGTTGGCATGTGTAAACTTTGAGGAAATGATTTCTTTTAGTTTTGCTTTTGAATATTACTGTTACAATACAAGATTCTTTTCAAAAAATTTTTTTGCTCAGAAAATAAAGAGAAACTTTTGTATGAAACCTTGAAAGACTAAGATTTTCTATTGAGATAATGCAATTGATTATATTATTGAGTGGGAAATATGTTATGCATTATAACTTATCCTAGTGCATGCAAGTGTCTTTGAGTTGAAAATAGTCTATCATAATTTCTAATGAAAATGGATGCAGCGAACTTATTTGATTTCTGATACAAAATATCAAGCAAACATTTTCTTGGGGCCATTTCGTCTTTGCTGTATTATAGGAACACATTTTAATATTCTGTATTGTCAAATTGTATTGGTTTGAAATTGATTACTTAAGGTTTTGTAGGAAAAATATGCAAAATGAAATAGACAAGTCCATTTATGATATTTTATTTCTGATACAAGTACTGCATTGATGCTTGCCAAGTTGTGTAGACAAGCAGTTATTGGTATTTGTAGAAATCTATGCAGAGATGTAATGAAGGCAGGGGGCATATGGGTGGGAATATGGGCGATGTACGAAATGGCAGGGGATTCAGTGAGGGACATGGTCCACCCTCAGGCAAGGGTGAACATGGTCCACCCACAGGCAGAGGGCTGGGCCCCTAATCATCACATTTATCTGCCAGACCATTTATACATACATTAAAAAAAAATAAAAATTTCAAGTGCAGCTTATAAAGTCCTGAAAAAGGCCACATATTGTACCTTTCTCCACTCAAAGCCATAAAGTAGTTGATATATAACCTGCCATATTGTTACCTCTTTCCTCTTCAGTAGTTAGCAGACAGTGATTACCTAGTGCTATAGTCTGCCCTGACAGTGTTTATGCCTTGCCTTACTGCTATCAATGGACCAGGAAATCCTGGATACATGACAATATACAATATTAATATGAAGTACAAATGATTTCTTACGAAAGAGAAAAATTCTTCAAATGAACAAAAGTTAAATGAATTGTCTCGGTGACACTTCACACAAAATCTAGAATTGTATATGGTATTCCCCTTTCCTTTTTAATCTATTAGCTCTGTGTGGTCAAACTTTGTGAAATTATTGAATGAAACAATGTAGATATTTGTGAAATTTGATCACACATTTTTTACCTGTGTGTAGTCCGCATACAAAACTTGAGATGACTTGGATCGATGTATTAGAGGAAGTATTCCAGCACTAATACTCCATTCAAGTCATCCATATGGCCACAGGATTGGTTGTATGTACATAGTGGACCCCATATTGTGGTGATGTTTTCCTGTACTACCTATAATGATCTGATTGATGTGCTAAGTCTACCATGTTTTAATATTGTGAGCAGTTTGCTACTATTGGATAATGCATTTATGTTTTTAGTGTTAGTAAAACCCACCCAACCAGCAATGTGTTGAAATACAGTTGGTAAAGGGGCATAATTCTGCACAGAACATGGTTGAGAGCATAATTTTACCAGAATACTTATTTCTATCAGATTTTGTTAACATTTTTAACAATGGGTAGACATTCCTAATTTTCCAAAAATCTATATGAAAACTAGGCAAATTTTTAATCGTGATCATGTGCCATCTATTCTTTTTGAACATTAAGTTCCATTGAACAGATTGATTTGCTGCTGCTTGGCTCTAGTTTAATACTGACACGATAGCTGCATGGTCGTGTCAGGTACAATAGATTTTGTGTATTTGGTGCAAGGGTTAAAACACTGGTTGTTGTACTGGAAACATCAACATTCCCCTCATAGCAGGACAAATTGTCTGGCAAAATACTCTCCAGCCTTGTGTGCAGTTAGGTTATGTGTCTTCTGTGGAAATCTCAAGGATAAAATAATAAAAAACTGAGTATTGTACATTTGTCTCTTGTTTTTTGTTTTATCACAGTGGAAAGATATCATTGAATGTTGCATTACAGCCTTGACGTCCATAACATTGCTTAATTCAGAACTGTGAATCCAGGATGAGCATCTCTTACCTCTTATTGTAACTGCATGTAAATATGTATACATGGTGCTATCTTGGTCATTTTGGAAAAATTACTGAATGCACAAACAAAACCGGTTGTTGCGTGCCACTGAGCATGTGCAGACTGTTTTATCTGAACAACTTTCATTAAAATTGACTGAAAATTTGATGCTGAAAGTGTTCATTCTATGGTTTTAATACCAGTTTCACCACTGTTAATTGAAGTGTAAACAGTACACCATGTACACTGGACATTTATCCATCTAGATGACCTACATAGCTCAGTTGGTATTCCCCCAGTCATGGCAAATGATTCTCTGTAATATTGCAAATGTTGCTCCATAATGTATAAAGGGAAATTTTCGCACAGTTTTAACTTTTGTCTATTTTGTCTTTTTGAAGAGGCTGAAAACAAAAAATGGGCTAAAGAAATAGTAATGCTGAGATATATCTGGTGTTTCAGAAGAATTTAATACTGGTTGAAAACAAAAGTTTAAGCGATCAAATACCAGGGTAAATGTTTCCATGTTTTCTCGGATCTGCCTCTTGGTACGAAAAGGGTCCATTTTTCATTTATATAGCATATTTTCCCTCGTCTCATTCAGTCTTTCTTAAAACTGTTAACTTCTCTGGACTACATTAAGGATTTTAAAAGATTTACCTTTATTTTCTGTGCTTGGCCCAGGAGGACTACACTTCTGCAAGTCGGTATCAGTAAGTAAAGCTTCACAGCTCATTTTGTAAAAACTTCCCTTTCTTAACTGGATTGTAACGATTTACTCGCATCCTCAGATACTTCAGACCATTTCCAAATTCCCTTTATCTGTGCAGAGGGATTTTGGTCAAACTCCCTTTATCTGTGCAGAGGGATTTTGGTCAAACTCCCTTTATCTGTGCAGAGGGATTTTGGTCCAGTTATCTTCACATGTGCAAAGGTATTGTTCATATTACCTTCATCTGTGCAGGTGGATTTTAATTTTTTCTCTCTTTTTTTTCCAACAAATATAGGACATAATTTGTAAGTAATCTAGTTATCTTAATCCATTAAAACTTGATAAAATCTTATCAAAAGTACTAACTCTGGACCAATAACATCCCCTTTGTTACTGAGTAACAACACCACAAAAAGATCCTTAAAAAAATTTATTCAATTAACATTCTTTTGAATTTCTTCACAATTTACAAGATCACTAGTATTAAGACACATTGCCAGCACTTTGTTCATTACTTTTAATCATTTCTATTTTGTTTCCGATTAATTTTTTTAATTACACAACTGAAAAGCATTATCCTAATATTAAAGAGGTATGTAAGGCACTTATATTTTAGCCCTTATAAAACACCTAGGTTGGTGGTGCTGAAGCAACCAGGAATGGTCAGACACAATACAAAACAAACAACACTTCTAATGTGGAAAGCAAAATTATTACACAAGTGCTCTGCATTCTAAGAGAAGCAATCATAGTATATATAGCGATTCTTATTTGAATTGGGCACAAATTACAGAGAATTTTAATCAGGCACAAAGTACAGAGAAGACACAAATGCTGAAAAAAAAACCAAGCATCATCATAACATTGGTTTCATACATAAACACCTGGAAAAAACAGTGAAAAGTGAAATATATAAATAAATAGGATTTTAAACAACAATAAACTTTAATAATTTTATATCATAATCGACAGTAGATCAAATATGGAGATTCTCTATCAGTATATACAGCTCATAGAAAATAAAGTGTTTTGATAACTACATTGTATCTATAAGAAAAGTGGTATTTATAGGGCACTAGATGTATTCGTTGTTCAGATAATGTTAAATTGCACTTTCACACACACTAAAGTGTTCCATTTGTTTATCATTCAGTATATTATGTCAGATCCAGAAATAAATTCATTAACAGTTTTAGTTTTGTAACGAAATCTTAAATAACAAAACTAATATAAAATAATGTATACAAGTAAATTCTCAGAAAATCAATAAAACTAGAACTAATAAAACTGAAAAAAACACTGTTCTTTACGTAAAATTTCCTTAAATTTACATAATACTTAAAATTAAAAAAATAATAAATTGTACATGAAAACACAAAATTTTATCAAATTCAAATTCATGAAATCTCACTGACTATCAAAATGAACATTTTAGCTCTGGGGAGGAATGACATCCATAATGATATTACTTCTTAATCTTACAGAGTTTACCCTGATATTTTACAACACCACATAGAAAACAATATTTCAATCTAGTTTGCATACCCACTGGGAACTATAACAACTAACCTTCTGATGGAGAAAACTTTATGTACATCAGGACCTTTTTGAAACCTTTTTTCCCTGCAGAAATGAAATTTCACCAAATGATCAAAATCAAAATGCTTGATATTCATTTGATCTTGAAAGATATGTTGATAAAATGATTTATCACTATATGTATAATACAGCAATCAAACGATGTATTTATTGGAATTCTGTATTCACTTTATGTCTTGTTGCATACCTATTTATTACATTTTTGCTATCAAAATATAGGAATTCATCAAGTCGATAAAAAATTAAAACTCATCATCATTGTAATGATGACATCAGAAATCTGACAACCCAATATCATCATTAACTTTTCTAATGATGACATCATTTTGTACTTTTGACCAACAAGAACAGTGCTTTCTAGTCAATGCATCGAAATTCATAGATTTTCCTGTTGGGATGCAAATGAAGCATAGGTTGAATAGGGTCAGCTTTCTTTTTTACATGTATTTCATTTAAAAATATAATAAAAATGAAAATCATATACATTTTTTTCCCTCGATAGACAATACATCTATATTTTTCTCTTGTGCTTCCCAAACATGAAATAGATATTCTGTCATACTTGTGAAATATATATGACATTAAACGAGAAACCATTAAATATCCTCTAATTATCTTGCAGATCATTTTAAAATACAATTAATGTTATAATTAAAGCATCAAACAAAAGGTTGCCTTTGTTATAATATTTCAAATAATAGATTTTGTTCTAAGCCCATGATTAATATATTTGATATGACAGGGATGAATGCAATACTTTTCACACTACTAATAATGTGTACAACTTGTAATAACATAAAGTCGTTAATGGAAACAATACTGTGATCAAATCACATTTAAATCCAGTGACAAAGAATTGTAATGTGAACATCAAATGTCCAGCTGTAGTAAAATGTCCCAAAGTTTATGTGGATACCATATTTAAATAAAATATTATCATAAGAGCTGATTGCATTAAAGCAAAATTGTAATGTTTGTTTCTGAATTGTATCGAATCAGAAATCAAACTGTCACACTTCCTCACAAAAAATCACAAAATGATAATGCCATCAAGCACACAACAGACTCTAGCACTAACAAGGGAGGTAACCAACCAGTATTTGATGAACACACATGCAAAAGGAATGCCATGTGAATAGAAATTGATTATGAAATCTAGCACAATGTAAAGATGTGACATTCATTCAGAGTTCCAAGATCTCCTGTTGATCAGCTACACACACAACCGCTCCATCATCTATTGGGTTTAATATGTTATCTTCCAAGTCTTCCTGAATATCATCAAACCTGTTGGCCAATTAATAAATATTTAATCATTAAAATATCATTTCAGAATATACAACAGGAGAGACAATGCCTATTGTTTGGTGATTTTTTGCGAACATCAAACATGCTTAGAACTTTCAGAAAATCAAACATTAGCAAAGAAATTTTGCAATAAGGGTAAAGCACAAGTTTCATAAATGTCCTATCATTCTTTTAGAAGGTATTGTTAAAAACAGAAATCCACCAATCAGATTCAAGCAAATTGAATAAAGACAGAACAAAAATTATAAGAATCTGGTGAGCGATTTTATCTTATGTTACTGTGACTTCACCTCATCACCTTACATATCCTATGTTACTGTGACCTACACTTCATCACCTTACATATCCTATGTTACTGTGACCTACACTCCATCACCTTACATATCCTATGTTACTGTGACCTACACTCCATCACCTTACATATCCTATGTTACTGTGACCTACACTCCATCACCTTATATATCCCATGTTACTGCGACCTACACTTCATCACCTTACATATGTAACTGTGACCTACACCTCATTACCTTATATATCCCATGTTACTGCGACCTACACTTCATCACCTTACATATGTAACTGTGACTTACACCTCATTACCTTACATATCCTATGTTACTGTGACCTACACTCCATCACCTTATATATCCTAAGTTACTGTGACCTACTCCTCATCACCTTACATATCCTATATTTCTGCGACCTACACTCCATCACCTTACATATCCTATGTTACTGCGGCCTACACTTAATCACCTTACATATCCTATGTTACTGTGACCTATACTCCATCACCTTATATATCCTATGTTACTGTGACCTACACCTCATCACCTTACATATCCTATGTTACTGCGACCTACACTTCATCACCTTACCTATCTTATGTAACTGTGACCTACACCTCATCACCTTACCTATCCTATATAACTGTGACCTACACTTCATCACCTTACCTATCCTATATAACTGTGACCTACACCTCATCAACTTACCTATCCTATGTAACTGTGACCTACACCTTGTCACCTTACCTATCCTATGTAACTGTGACTACACCTTGTCACCTTACCTATCCTATGTAACTGTGACCTACACCTCATCACCTTACCTATCCTATGTAACTGTGACCTACACTTCATCACCTTACATATCCTATGTTACTGTGACCTACACCTCATCACCTTATATATCCTATGTAACTGTGACTACACTCCATCACCTTACCTATCCTATATAACTGTGACCTACACCTCATCACCTTACCTATCCTATATAACTGTGACCTACACCTCATCACCTTACCTATCCTATGTAACTGTGACTACACCTTGTCACCTTACCTATCCTATGTAACTGTGAACTACATTCCATCACCTTATATATCCTATGTTACTGTGACCTACACCTCATCACCTTACCTATTCTATGTTACTGTGACCTACACCTCATCACCTTATATATCCTATGTTACTGTGACTACACCTTGTCACCTTACCTTTCCTATATTACTGCGACCTACACCTCATCACCTTACATATTCTATGTTACTGCGACCTACACTTCATCACCTTACATATCCTACGTTACTGTGACCTACACTCCATCACCTTATATATCCTATGTTACTGTGACCTACTCCTCATCACCTTACATATCCTATGTTACTGTGACCTACACCTCATCACCTTATCTATCCTATGTAACTGTGACTACACCTCATCACCTTACCTATCCTATGTAACTGTGACCTACACCTCATCACCTTACCTATCCTATGTAACTGTGACCTACACCTCATCACCTTACCTATCCTATGTTACTGTGACCTACACCTCATCACCTTATCTATCCTATGTAACTGTGACTACACCTTGTCACCTTACCTTTCCTATATTACTGCGACATACACTTCATCACCTTACATATCCTATGTTACTGTGACTACACCTCATCACCTTACATATCCTATGTTACTGCGACCTACACTTCATCACCTTATATATCCTATGTTACTGCGGCCTACACTTCATCACCTTACATATCCTATGTTACTGCGACCTACACTTCATCACCTTACATATCCTATGTTACTGTGACTACACCTCATCACCTTACATATCCTATGTTACTGTGACCTACACTCCATCACTTTACATATCCTATGTTACTGCGGCCTACACTTCATCACCTTACATATCCTATGTTACTGCGACCTACACTTCATCACCTTACATATCCTATGTTACTGTGACCACACCTCATCACCTTACATATCCTATGTTACTGTGACCTACACCTCATCACCTTACATATCCTATGTTACTGTGACCTACACTCCATCACCTTATCTATCCTATGTAACTGTGACTACACCTTGTCACCTTACCTATCCTATGTAACTGTGAACTACATTCCATCACCTTATATATCCTATGTTACTGTGACCTACACCTCATCACCTTACCTATCCTATGTTACTGTGACCTACACCTCATCACCTTATTTATCCTATGTAACTGTGACTACACCTTGTCACCTTACCTTTCCTATATTACTGCGACATACACTTCATCACCTTACATATCCTATGTTACTGTGACTACACCTCATCACCTTACATATCCTATGTTACTGCGACCTACACTTCATCACCTTATATATCCTATGTTACTGTGACCTACACCTCATCACCTTACATATCCTATGTTACTGCGACCTACACTTCATCACCCTATATATCCTATGTTACTGTGACCTACTCCTCATCACCTTACATATCCTATGTTACTGCGACCTACACTCCATCACCTTACATATCGTATGTTACTGCGGCCTACACTTCATCACCTTACATATCCTATGTTACTGTGACTACACCTCATCACCTTACATATCCTATGTTACTGTGACCTACACCTCATCACCTTACATATCCTATGTTACTGTGACCTACACACCATCACCTTATATATCCTATGTTACTGCGACCTACACCTCATCACCTTACATATCCTATGTTACTGCGACCTACACTCCATCACCTTACATATCCTATGTTACTGTGGCCTACACTTCATCACCTTACATATCCTATGTTACTGCGGCCTACACTTCATCACCTTACCTATTTTATGTAACTGTGACCTACACTCCATCACCTTACATATCCTATGTTACTGTGACCTACACCTCATCACCTTACATATCCTATGTTACTGCGACCTACACTTCATCACCTTACTTATCCTATGTAACTGTGACCTACACCTCATCACCTTACCTATCCTATGTAACTGTGACTACACCTTGTCACCTTACCTATCCTATGTAACTGTGACCTACACCTCATCACCTTACCTATCCTATGTAACTGTGACCTACACTTCATCACCTTACATTCCCTATGTAACTTTGACTACACCTCATCACCTTACATATCCTATGTAACTGTGACCTACACCTCATCACCTTACATATCCAATGTAACTGTGACTACACTCCATCACCTTACCTATCTTATATAACTGTGACCTACACCTCATCACCTTACCTATCCTATGTAACTGTGACTACACCTTGTCACCTTACCTATCCTATGTAACTGTGACCTACTCATCATCACCTTACCTATCCTATGTAACTTTGACTACACCTTGTCACCTTACCTATCCTATGTAACTGTGACCTACTCATCATCACCTTACCTATCCTATGTAACTGTGAACTACATTCCATCACCTTATATATCCTATGTTACTGTGACCTACACCTTGTCACCTTACCTATCCTATGTTACTGTGACCTACACCTCATCACCTTATATATCCTATATAACTGTGACCTACATTCCATCACCTTATATATCCTATGTTACTGTGACTACACCTTGTCACCTTACCTTTCCTATATTACTGCGACCTACACCTCATCATCTTACATATTCTATGTTACTGTGACCTACACTTCATCACCTTACATATCCTACGTTACTGTGACCTACACTCCATCACCTTATATATCCTATGTTACTGTGACCTATTCCTCATCACCTTACATATCCTATGTTACTGTGACCTACACCTCATCACCTTATCTATCCTATGTAACTGTGACTACACCTCATCACCTTACCTATCCTATGTAACTGTGACCTACACCTCATCACCTTACCTATCCTATATAACTGTGACCTACACCTCATCACCTTACCTATCCTATGTTACTGTGACCTACACCTCATCACCTTATTTATCCTATGTAACTGTGACTACACCTTGTCACCTTACCTTTCCTATATTACTGCAACATACACTTCATCACCTTACATATCCTATGTTACTGTGACTACACCTCATCACCTTACATATCCTATGTTACTGCGGCCTACACTTCATCACCTTACATATCCTATGTTACTGCGACCTACACTCCATCACCTTACATATCCTATGTTACTGCAGCCTACACTTCATCACCTTACATATCCTATGTAACTGTGAACTACATTCCATCACCTTATATATCCTATGTTACTGTGACCTACACCTCATCACCTTACCTATCCTATGTTACTGTGACCTACACCTCATCACCTTATCTATCCTATGTAACTGTGACTACACCTTGTCACCTTACCTTTCCTATATTACTGCGACATACACTTCATCACCTTACATATCCTATGTTACTGTGACTACACCTCATCACCTTACATATCCTATGTTACTGCGACCTACACTTCATCACCTTATATATCCTATGTTACTGTGACCTACTCCTCATCACCTCACATATCCTATGTTACTGCGACCTACACTCCATCACCTTACATATCCTATGTTACTGCGGCCTACACTTCATCACCTTACATATCCTATGTTACTGTGACTACACCTCATCACCTTACATATCCTATGTTACTGTGACCTACACATCATCACCTTACATATCCAATGTTACTGTGACCTACACTCCATCACCTTATATATCCTATGTTACTGCGACCTACACCTCATCACCTTACATATCCTATGTTACTGCGACCTACACTCCATCACCTTACATATCCTATGTTACTGCGGCCTACACTTCATCACCTTACATATCCTATGTTACTGTGACCTACACTTCATCACCTTACCTATCTTATGTAACTGTGACCTATACTCCATCACCTTATATATGCTATGTTACTGTGACCTACACCTCATCACCTTACATATCCTATGTTACTGCGACCTACACTTCATCACCTTACTTATCCTATGTAACTGTGACCTACACCTCATCACCTTACCTTTCCTATGTAACTGTGACCTACACTCCATCACCTTACCTATCCTATATAACTGTGACATACACCTCATCACCTTACCTATCCTATGTAACTGTGACTACACCTTGTCACCTTACCTATCCTATGTAACTGTGACCTACACCTCATCACCTTACTTATCCTATGTAACTGTGACCTACACCTCATAACCTTACCTATCCTATGTAACTGTGACTACACCTTGTCACCTTACCTATCCTATGTAACTGTGACCTACAACTCATCACCTTACCTATCCTATGTAAATGTGACCTACACTTCATCACCTTACATACCCTATGTAACTTTGACTACACCTCATCACCTTACATATCCTATGTAACTGTGACCTTCACCTCATCACCTTACCTATCATATGTTGTTTCCTGTGGTAGTTTTTGATGAGTGTCCTCATTCATGCTCCCAAAGGTTTTTATTACATAAAATATAGCACTCATTATCAGCATAACACCTGCAACATATGAAACAATAAACTGTAATTATACTAATAACAATATCAATCTGATACTCAGCTAATTTCTCAATTTGTGTTTTCAGTGTTTCTTCATATATCAAGGTTGGGTTATATGTTTCCTGTAACCATGTTACATCAGATTACCTTTTGGCCAGGTACAGATTTTCTATAAATAGGCAGGTTATCATTTACTGATTTTCTATAAATAGGCAGGTTATCATTTACAGATTTTCTATAAATAGGCAGGTTATGGTTTACAGATTTTCTATAAATAGGCAGGTTATGGTTTACAGATTTTCTATAAATAGTCAGGTTATCATTTACAGATTTTCTATAAATAGGCAGGTTATGGTTTACAGATTTTCTATAAATAGGCAGGTTATCATTTACTGATTTTCTATAAATAGGCAGGTTATCATTTACAGATTTTCTATAAATAGGCAGGTTATGGTTTACAGATTTTCTATAAATAGGCGGGTTATCATTTACAGATTTTCTATAAATAGGCAGGTTATGGTTTACAGATTTTCTATAAATAGGCAGGTTATCATTTACAGATTTTCTATAAATAGTCAGGTTATCATTTACAGATTTTCTATAATAAGGCAGGTTATCATTTACTGATTTTCTATAAATAGGCAGGTTATCATTTACAGATTTTCTATAAATAGTCAGGTTATCATTTACAGATTTTCTATAAATAGTCAGGTTATCATTTACAGATTTTCTATAAATAGGCAGGTTATGGTTTACAGATTTTCTATAAATAGTCAGGTTATCATTTACAGATTTCTATAAATAGGCAGGTTATCATTTACAAATTTTCTATAAATAGTCAGGTTATCATTTACAGATTTCCTATAAATAGGCAAGTTATGGTTTACAGATTTTCTATAAATAGGCAGGTTATCATTTACAGATTTCCTATAAATAGGCAGGTTATGGTTTACAGATTTTCTATAAATAGGCAGGTTATCATTTACAGATTTCCTATAAATAGGCAAGTTATGGTTTACAGATTTTCTATAAATAGGCAGGTTATCATTTACAGATTTCCTATAAATAGGCAGGTTATCATTTACAGATTTTCTATAAATAGTCAGGTTATCATTTACAGATTTCTATAAATAGGCAGGTTATCATTTACAAATTTTCAATAAATAGTCAGGTTATCATTTACAGATTTCTATAAATAGGCGGGTTATCATTTACAGATTTTCTATAAATAGGCAGGTTATCATTTACAGATTTCCTATAAATAGGCAGGTTATCATTTACAGATTTTCTATAAATAGGCAGGTTATGGTTTACAGATTTTCTATAAATAGGCAGGTTATGGTTTACAGATTTTCTATAAATAGGCAGGTTATGGTTTACAGATTTTCTATAAATAGTTTATCATTTACAGATTTTCTATAAATAGGCAGGTTATGGTTTACAGATTTCCTATAAATAGGCAGGTTATCATTTACAGATTTTCTATAAATAGGCAGGTTATCATTTACAGATTTTCTATAAATAGGCAGGTTATCATTTACTGATTTTCTTTAGACTGGTTATGATTTACAGATGTTCTGTAAGCAGATTGCTATAATTTACAGATATAGACTGTTATGACTGTTACACTGTTATGATTTACAGATGTTCTGTAAGCAGATTGCTATAATTTACAGATATAGACTGTTATGACTGTTACACTGTTATGATTTACAGATGTTCTGTAAGCAGATTGCTATAATTTACAGATATAGACTGTTATGACTGTTACACTGTTATGATTTACAGATGTTCTGTAAGCAGATTGCTATAATTTACAGATATAGACTGTTATGACTGTTACACTGTTATGACTGTTACACTGTTATGATTTACATATTTTCTATATTATGATTTACCTGATATAATGGCTAGCCAGGCATCATTAGGTTCTATAAAACAAGGCACTGCTAAAAGCAAATAAAAAACTCCTTTCTTCCAATTGTCCAGCCACAAAACACACGCCCACATTTTAAGACAACAGGACACAGATTCTTCATCATCATCATTACTGTAAAAGAAAGAATCTATTAGCCTCAGAGATTTCCATCACAGAGTAAAAGCCAAAAACATGCCAAACATATACTATTACATATCATCTTGTTTAAATGATTTACTAAAAGTATCTGTTTTTTTCTGAAATACTGTCAATTCCTTTACAGTGATCAAATGTTCCAAAAGAAAACGAATGTAAAGTGGTTATACAAACAGTTAAATCTGCTTAAGCAGACATCCTTTTCATATAGCAAACACCATCACACAGTGGACATTTTCACATTCTCCTCCCCCTCCCCCCACCTCCACCCCCAAACAAAGAAAACTGTATTTTACAAGATACCCCATTAAATAAAGCAGATATCTCTTCAACACAAAAGCATATGTCTCATATCTGTGGACATTGGACACCTGCAATTGATTAATAAACTTGTTAATTCAATGCAAGTTCCCAATTACATTCCTTTTCCCTCATACAAAGCATTCTGGTTAATTAATCATAAGAATTACAACAAACCAAGCTCAGTAAATCCCAGTCATATGAAAATGACTTTATGTCAAACTAAGGGATATTTCTAATTCTTCACATTATCAATTACATAATTTCCTTTTCTAGAACTTACTTAATTAGCAAATTATATCTCTATATTAAACAACCAGCAGGAGACAGTGTATATGTATTTGTTTTGTACACAAAACTAATGTTTCTGTAATCCCAACTCACCTTTTAAATATTTTCACACAAATATCAATGAAAAACACAACCTCTAGAGAAGTCACGATCACAGCTTCTATTCTGAAATAGAAAGGAAAGTTAACTATGACTGACATGCAAATCTTTTATTACATTATTAGAATCATACTTTTGATTTATGAAATAGGTAACATTTTATGTATACGTTTATAGACTATCAGTTTTTAGTCAACGCACACCAAACCTCCTCCTCCCACAAATGTGTTTATATCCACTGACTAGCAAAGTGGCATTTCATCATCCACAACAACTGTAATTATAACAATTTGTTGTATGACAAGATAATAAAAAAATTTTAAAAAATAATTTGGTACCTTTACATTGAATGTGTAACAATTTTTTACAATTTTTTAAACACATTTACAAGGTAATGATTTTGTATATCACTTATGCATCATATGAATTTTTTAATCATTGTCCATATAGAAAGGTGACTTGAATAAACTTGAAGTAAAATTCATTTAAATAATGTAAATATAACAGGGAAACCTGCACAATAAAATGAGCACTTCTGAAAGCAAAACTGAAAATAAAGCAGAGAGGTGTAGACCCTGAGTGAAAAGTATGTTCGAAATGCTGAAAACGCAAAGGGCAATGACTCTTCCAAATGTCAAATTAATTGTTGCTATGGAAAGCAGATATGATACACATGATAACGAAGACTACCAAACAAACATTTCAAACAGACTGTCAAAACCTGAGAGAGAACTGCAGACTACTAGAGGAACAAAGGGAAATAAATTGTTAAAGCCAGCTTTCCACGACTTTATTTAGATCACATCTCATGATCAGAGAGATCCGTCCCAAATTGTTCAAGAATTCTAAGATCTCAAAGCAAAATATTTACCATAGTCAGACATCACATCTTAAACAATTATTAAAACTAAATAATGAATGTTAGTTATTATTCAGACATGCTTTCTGCTTGTTGATACTTACAAAAGAATGAATCCAACATATCGACCATAAAAAGCTTCTTCCACACTGATTCCCCATAGTGCTGTAAGTCAAACAAAATTACAAGTTATCACAAACAAATAGTACATGCACCGATCAAAGTGGACATTAACATTATTTACAAGACATCTGCTGAACCTTTATATTGCCATCATGTACACATATTAATTACAGTGAAGAAGTTTACAGGCCCACAGGAACAGGAGTGAAATAAGTACAAATTAAGGACTCTCACATACAAGATCCTTACTTAGAAGCCAAAAAATTACTGCAGCAATCCAATTGGAAAGCAACTAATATAAACACTGGACATAACTTACTGGCCTAATGACTTCTAATATGAAAATGAAGTAAAGAATTAAGAAAGTTTTGTCATACATATTTTGTGCAAACAGAAATCTTGCTGGAACGCTCATATTTTGGCCACCCTCACCTTAATTATGTGTGATTTGAGAATTGTGCATGCTGGAGAAGCAATGTGTTATTTATATTAATTAGGTCTCGGTTTAAAAATAAGACCTTTTTACATAAATAATTTTGAACCCTTGCTGACTTTTATTACTTTGTATCCATATCAACAGGAGAAGTATCAGACAGGGGATAAGTTCAATCAATGTGAATCTTAATGGTGGCTGTACGTAGTAACATTCTTGTAGTTATGTCAGACACTTTCAAATGACATCAACCTGTTGAACTTGACAACTGTTGGAACAAGTGAAGTTATAAATACAGAATTATCAGTAGGTAGGCTTAGTAGAGCAGACGTATTGCTGAAAGATCGTAAAAGCCCTATTGATATCCAGGAATACATCCTATTATGTCTACACGTGACAACACGAAACAAGAAAATCACGACATGCGACTTTCACGGTCGAGTAAACCTTCATTTCATTGTCAAAATAGAAGACACACATGTTATTGTTCTGAGAGAATTTCCCCTTAAATTGGTTGCTTTGTAACCTGAATAATGTATGAGTGACAACAAGCCTCAAACTGTTTAATGTAAACAACCGGTTGACTTGGCTCGGAGCCAAAATAAAACGGAAAAAGTGGCGTGATAGACCACACCACAACATGTCCGTCACATGTTTTCCAACTCGGTATTTCTATATGCAAAACGTAACTTACCAATTGCGGTGATAATTCCCCAGAATCTACAAAGCCAATAGTAAAATTCCCAGAGACAAAATGCGCATTTACCGTCACGATTTTCCATTACTATCAAAAATAAAGTTTTACAACATTACATTCGCGCCCAACAACAAACATCGTGTTGTGAACGGATCCATTCGTAACTCCTCTGCTGGATCCGTGCCAACGCACACTGATATCGTAATCATCAACCTTTTGATATAACATTTAACACATGCGACAATTTTTACCAATGTAGTAACTTGAAATATCATTCCTTCATAATTTGATCCTTTATGGGGAAAAAAATAGCAGTCGGCGTTGAAAGAAGGCCTTACCTTAGGGTGATGAACATGGATAATATGACATCTGTAATAGTATATGTGCCCGGCTAGCTCAGTCGGTAGAGCACGAGACTCTTAATCTCGGGGTCGTGGGTTCGAGCCCCACGTTGGGCGATTATATTTTTCATTTTATATATTGTCAGTTGTTTATTTTTTCAGTACTGATGATGATATGTCATATTTCTAAGTATTTGCCATTGGTACCAGATCTCTGTATTCAGTATGTAAACATAGTAAGATTTGAAACATATTACCTAAATCATTAACATCACGCATTCAGTGTATCAGTATCAGTGTCACACTATGCAATGTTGCTACTTTCGATTCTAGTTTGTCAGTTTTTGCTCTTTTTAGAAAGATCACTTTATTTCCAACTCTTTACTTTTCTTATGGATAACAATTTATTGTACCAATATCAATCAAGGTTTAGAAGACATTATTCTATGGATACGGCTCTGATAAACCTATTTGATCTTTAAAGTGTAAAACGTCAAAAGGCCTATATACAGGCATGATACTGTTGGATCTACAAAAAGCATTCGACGCTGTCGATCATATAATTTCATGTGACAAATTAAAGGCAATAGGGGTGAGTGTACATCCTGGTTTTCTTCATATCTGTCTCCTAGAGACCAAATCGTCTCAATTAAAAATGCTGTATCTTCGTCTCAAAAAGTTACATGGGGGTACCCCAGGGGAGTATTTTGGGACCCCTTCTTTTCCTCTGTTATATCAATGACATGGAACTAAGCATAAGTAAAGATTCCAAATTACTTTTCTACGTAGACGATAGCGCAATTACTGTCTCTGCACCTCGGGAAAACTGAACTTATTCTCTTTGGTATAAAGCTAAAACTCCGCAAAATTAAATCATTTGAAATAACCGTGATTGGTGAACCTAATTAAAACTCAGATCAAGTACGCTATCTCGGTATCGATATATATAACTGTTTAACAGGCCAAAGTATTGTTGAAAACTCAGTGGAAAAAGTTAATTCCGGACTTCATTTTTTATACAGACAATGCAGAGATCTTCCATTAGACATCAGGAAATCACTCTGTAATTCTCTTGTACAGTTTGATTATTGTTGCGCAGCCTGAACCAAAAGATGAATAATCAGCTACAGGTTGTGCAAAATAGATGTTTACGTTTTATCTGTAATCTTGGTCCTAGAGAAAGTGTAAACCAAAATGTCTTATCCAATTTGAATGTTGAAAACAGAGTAAAACAATCATGTCTTAACCACATGTACATTGTATTTCATGAAACGTGCCCAAGCTAGATGTCATCTAAATTTAGAAAGGTCTGTGACCGACAAAATTATGGTACCCGAAACTGTTCATTGAATTTTGTTGTGCCTTCTGTTAAAGGTCAAATTTCTAAAACATTTTATTTTAATGGAGTCAAGGCCTGGAACTCACCTCCTGCAGACATTCGTTCAGTTATTAACAAACGAAACTTTCAAAACCGTGTTCGACGTTTTTTACAGAATAATGCATAAAGAATCTTTTGTTTTCTGTGATATTAGAATATTCTTACCACACGCATGAACTTTTTTCACATAATTTTAGTTTATTTTAGAAACATTATATTTTAGGAATATTTTAACTTTATGTCATAATATTTGTATCCAGTGTTGTATTGTAATGTTTTTATGTTAAGGGACCACCTTGGAAATAAGTCCACGGACTTTACTGCGTTATCCTGGTTAAAACGTTAATTGTTTTACAATACATGTTTTTGTATGTATGTAATATAATGTATGTTTTACCAAATAAATCTATCTACCTATCTACCTATCTATCATCACGTATGCCGCAGCGTAATTTAATGGGAAATAACGTTCTATGAAGAATGTACGAAAGACACACAAGTGAGTAACACATCTTTTTAGTACTGTAAAGCCAAAAAAATTAATTGAAAAAAATAAATATTTCAACGTCCGAGTTTATTCTCCTGGATGGTGGATGGGAAGTAACTCGTCAAATCTTCATATATTTTACCTGTAACCTCCCGTATTTACCCACGGGAGGTAACTCTTTCAGCCTTACTTTAAGCAACGCTTGCTTTCGTCTACTGCGCTAAATTACCATTTTTTATTCAATTCATTTGTTTCTTCTTTCGATGCCTGTATCACAAAGCTTATTTTTTTGGAGGAAGCTGTACTTTTTATTTCCCTTTCTTCAATCTAACCTGGTTACTTGTGCAGGAGTCTAACTGCTGCCACTCTAATTAGGTAGTTTTGGTAGACGATCTATTGTGATCAGACGGGAAAATTGTCTTTCCACTCGACAGGCATTTTAGACCCTGGTTAGAAGTCAGACATGTTGGACAGCAAATTAAGAGGCGACACCGTTTACCAGCTCTTGGTTAAACCGTTGTCAAACCGGGACGATAAACACTACCAATAAATCACATGACTTGAGAATATAATACATTATGACTTTCTTTCGCCATTGCAACATTTTCAGACAACACTTTATCTATAATGTCACTTTTTCGGTTGCCTCTTGATACTTGCAATACAATCCTTCGGAGGTACAATCTGAGTACCGGCATTCCATTGTGTGACGACATAGTTTCATGTTTACGTCCCCGCCAGACGTGAACCCATAGTTTTGACTTTCGGATCATGGTTAAATATTTTGGCATGTGCCCGAAATGCAACTGGTCGTCTGTCTGTCTGTCTGTCTGTCTGTCTGTCTGTCTGTCTGTCTGTCTGTCTGTCTGTCTGTCTGTCTGTCTGTCTGTCTGTCTGTCTGTCTGTCTGTCTGTCTGTCTGTCTGTCTGTCTGTCTGTCTGTCTGTCTGTATGTATGTATGTATATATATATATATATATATATATATATATATATATATATATATCTGTCTGTATATATATATATATATATATATATATATATATATATATATATATATATATATATATATATATGTATATATATATATATATATATATATATATATATATATATATATATATATATATATATATATATATATATATATATATATATATATATATATATATATATATATATATATATATATATATATATATATATATATATATATATGTATATCTGTCTATATATCCGAGCAGCAAAGTTTTGCCTACATGTACTCCCCATTGCCATAAAGTTTTATTATCAATTTTAATATTGCCCAGAAATATATGTGTGAGATTCAATAGGAAATAAATAGACATAAAACAACTAATTAAAAAATAATTCCGGATCAACAACAACGATCTATACAGAAACTTTTAACCACAGAACCTATAATTTGATTTGTAAGACACGGAGGATATCTTAATATTGAGGAAAGTAGTTAGGATGTGCGTGAAAACCAAAAATGTCAGATCGAAAAATAAAAAAGCAAAAACAAAGAAAAAAAAGATTGCTTCAGAACGACAGAAGAAACATTTAAAAAAAAAACTTCGGTCGGTAAATTACATGGGTCAAAAAAAGATGCAAGACCTAATAGGGGAAAGGGTATTAAATCGTCCAAACACTGTTTATAACATGGTACAACTACTGACATGAAGAGAGAAAAACACGTTAATCATAGAACGAGCGTTATAGGCATGTAATGGAAACTTATCGCAGTATGGTAACACGACTTGTCGAAATAATTATGTCGACATGTCGTCTTATTAACTCGACTTTTCAAAATATCAAGTCTATCTGTCGCGGGCTTCTCAACCTTTAGACTTCCTTAGGGAACCTCAACAGACACTATCGTAAAACTACTGTTAGACTTCCAACCGACATTACCATAACTCTATGAGAGTGAAGAATGTACAGGATTGAAAATTAATGAGTTTAAAGATAACTTACCATATTGTTTTATCTGTAAACAAATAGGGCTGGGCAGACCATCGGCCAGTGTCCCCAGCTGGCATGTGTCTGTTAAGACCTGACGGAGTGAGAGAGACATTTAAGGTCATGAGGGGTTAGTTTGGACAGATTTAGTGTAATTACTTTAGATTAATCACATTGGTGTGTTTGGTAAAGTTTGGGAAAAGCTTGGTCACGGTGAGTTTCAGTTGGGATGTTTGAGAGCACAGACGTGTTTGTGGGAACTCCGGTTGTTTTGTATTAGTTTGGGATAGCGCGAGAATATATATGTGTGAAGTCCACATAACTGAAGATAATTATTTACTGTTTTAATTGAGACTCGTATAGTTGATTGTTGGAAACTATAGTGATGTTTGTGACTCGCACCTTTATGTATGTGGACATGTATATACTTTCTGTAAATAAACTGTAAATGTTGTAAAAATTCTTGTCCTTGACTTGGATCCCGTCACAACTCTACCAAATAGCCACAACTGATGTTACCGTAAGTCTTCCTTAGGAACTCCCACAGTAAGTCTACCTAATGACCACAGCCGAGACTATCGTAAGTCTATCTGACGACCACAACCGACATTACCGTAAATCTACCTAATGACAACAACCGATGTTACCAAGTCTACTTAAGGAACTCCCAAGTAACATTACCGTAAGTCTACCTAATGACAACAACCGATGTTACCGTAAGTCTACCTGATGACCACAACTAACTTTACCTTAAGTCTACCTGTTGACCACAACCAACATTACCGTAAGTCTACCTATTGACCACAACCAACTTTACCGTAAGTCTACCTGATGACCACAACTAACTTTACCTTAAGTCTACCTATTGACCACAACCAACATTACCGTAAGTCTACCTATTGACCACAACCAACTTTACCGTAAGTCTACCTGATGACCACAACTAACTTTACCTTAAGTCTACCTATTGACCA